CTTACAAGGCACCCTGACCTACGTCCACGATATCTCCGTCTCTTCCTCATGCGAATGACGGGGATTTGGGCCTTGTCGGGTGTCTGTAGGATATCCTTCGCGGCCGCCTCGTTGAAGAAAAAATATTTGTCCAATACGAGGTGAGTAATCGCTGTCCTGATATCCAGAAGCTCTTTTTGGTTATAAGAGACGATGGCAGAAACATTATGTACAAAATAAATTACAAATAACGCGGAAAAACACACATAATAGTACAATTGGTTAGAGGGCTGTAAAACGGCAGCCATCTTCTCCGGCGCTGTTCTATCAGGATCAGTCAGGATCAAGGCAAAGATGAACGGAGCAAAGTACAGAGATCCTTGATGACAACCTGCTCCAGAGTGCTCAGGACCTCAAACTGGGGCGAAGGTTCACCTTCCAACAGGACAACGACCCTAAGCACACAACCAAGACAATGCAGGAGTCACGTCAGGACAAGTCTCTGAATATCCTTGAGTGGCCCAGCCAGAGCCCGGACTTGAACCCGATCTAACATCTCTTGAGAGACCTGAAAATAGCTGTGCAGCGACGCTCCCCATCCAACCTGACAGGGCTTGAGAGGATCTGCAGAGAAGAATGGGAGAAACTCCCCAAATACAGGTGTGCAAAGCTTGTAGCGTAATACCCAATAAGACTCAAGGCTGTAATCGCTGCCAAAGTTACTTAAACAAAGTACTGAGTAAAGGGTCTGAATACTTATGTAAATTTGATATTTCAGTTTTTTATTTTTAATACATTTGCAAAAATGTCTAAAAACCAGTTTTTGCTTTGTCATTATGGGTTATTGTGTGTAGATTGATGAGGGGAAAAAACTATTTAATCCATTTTAGAATAAGGCTGTAATGCAACAAAATGTTGAAAAATTCAAGGGGTCTGAATACTTTCCGAATGCACTGTATAAGAGTAACAGGTGTTGGGTTGGAGATACATCGCCTGAGAAAGTGATTGGATCTTCGTCGAACGTAGAGACAAAATTCTATTGAGCCTGAGAAAGCTACTCCCTCAACCCCAAGGCCGAGCCCCTCCTAGCTATGATCTCGACAAAACGGCGCTGCTCTTCCTCCCGGGGAAGGCCTGCCAGCGCCAAGACCTCTCCATCACGGTTAACTCTGCCCTCCAGACATTCTTTGGGACAGTAACATTTGAGCATGTGTGAATTTCGATCTGCAAAACATAAATAATTCACTCAGATGCTGTAAAAGACTAGAAAGTACTGTAAGTACAGTAACAATGAATCATCTATTTAAAATAGTTATATTAGCTAATACATTGACTTGTATTGAAAATATACCTTCTCATTATTTATCTAAACCTCATATGACATACAAGTTAACAATCATGTACTATGTTTTAATAAAAAGGAATACACATATAAAGAAGCCAGTTTTAACAATTAAATAACTAAATTATCCATAAACCAATAATGGTAAGCCAGTTAACGGTAGCAGCTAAGCTAAGTAATAGCAACCCTATAGGCTTGACAGGCTAGTGTTAGTGCAGTTAGCTTAGTGTTAGCATATAGTTTTTCTAAAAAAATACAACTCTAACATATAACGCTTGGGTGGGGAGATGTCAGGGCCTAGACCATGTAAATGGAGTAGAAAAGAAACCACAATATTACCTCAGAGGAGCTATAAATCAACAAATTCAAACCATAATTTTATCTGGCGCCATTTTTTCTTATGTTATTCTATGCGCTAGCCTTGTATAGCTGCAAACCCAATTATCTCTATATCAAGATCGCTAACTGTTTTCACTCGATCAACATTTAAACTTTACAATTTCAACATAAAAGATAAGTATCACTCAACCATTTAGACTGTAACATTTTATATAGATAATGTGCAAGTGTACATACCTGTTTACGAGAACAAAGAAAAAAGAGACAGGAGAACAAACAGTTATAGTTGTCACAGGCGTCGTCTTCGAGTGTTGTTGAGGGGAGACGCAAACCGCTGTGCTTCTGCGCCCCCTGCTGGTGGCAACATGCATCAGGAATTCCCAATTGAAATTCTTGGAAGACTCAGCCCAAAATAATAGCGGATTACAACCATATACAATAATTGATTTACAACAACAATATCTAAACCATGTTTTATAAATACAATGTGATTCAATAACCTTATGGGCAGCCACAACTATAGTGTACGAAAATAAACATTCATATTTAGATAGGTTTCTGTGCGTTTTCAAACCTACAATAGTCTACGCCATCTCAATCTAATCTCAAAATGAGATGGCAAGTATCATCTAGAGTAGATACAAGAAACAACAAAATAGACATAAGGTTGCCTAACACTAAATGCAATTAGAAAATATTTAATCCCCATTTGTGAGATGTATGCATTGAACAAAAAAAAACGAATGTTCTGATGAAAATACATATCCATATGATTTTGTTTTGTATGGGGTTGCAAGATTTATATATGTTATTGAAATATATGATCATACATTTTAAAATGTATGTCACGTTTATATATGTGTTTTAAATATATGATAATATATTTTCAAATATATGTCACGGTCTTTGATATATATATATAAGGCAATATATGGCCATATACAGTTGAAGTCGGAAGTTTACATACACTTTAGCCAAATACATTTAAACTCAGTTTTTCACAATTCCTGACATTTAATCGTAGTAAAACTTCCCTGTTTTGGGTCACTTAGGATCACCACTTTATTTTAAGAATGTGAAATGTCAGAATAATAGTAGAGAGAATTATTTATTTCAGATTTTATTTATTTCATCACATTCCCAGTGAGTCATACGTTTACATACACTCAATTAGTATTTGGTAGCATTGCCTTTAAATTGTTTAACTTCGGTCAAACATTTCGGGTAGCCTTCCACAAGCTTCCCACAATAAGTTGGGTGAATTTTGGCCCATTCTTCCTGACAGAGCTGGTGTAACTGAGTCAGGTTTGTAGGCCTCCTTGCTCGCACACACTTTTTCAGTTCTGCCCACATATTTTCTATAGGATTGAGGTCAGGGCTTTGTGATGGCCACTCCAATACCTTTACTTTGTTGTCCTTAAGCCATTTTGCCACAACTTTGGAAGTATGTTTGAGGTCATTGTCCATTTGGAAGACCCATTTGCGACCAAGCTTTAACTTCCTGACTGATGTCTTGAGATGTTGCTTCAATATATCCACATAATTTTCCTTCGTCATGATGCCATCTATTTTGTGAAGTGCACCATTCCCTCCTGCAGCAAAGCACCCCCACAGAATGATGCTGCTAACCCTGTGCTTCACGGATGGGATGGTGTTCTTCGGCTAGCAAGCATCCCCCTTTTTCCTCCAAATATAACGATGGTCATTATGGCCAAACAGTTCTATTTTTGTTTCATCAGACCAGAGGACATTGCTCCAAAAAGTACGATCTTTGTCCCCATGTGCAGTGGCTTTTTTTATGGCGGTTTTGGAGTAGTGGCTTCTTCCTTGCTGAGTGGCCTTTCAGGTTATGTTGATATAGAACTCATTTTACTGTGGATATAGATACTTTTGTACCTGTTTCCTCCAGCATCTTCATAAGGTCCTTTGCTGTTGTTCTGGGTTTGATTTGCACTTTTCGCACCAAAGTACATTCATCTCTAGGAGACAGAACGCCTCTCCTTCCTGAGCGGTATGATGGCTGCGTGGTCCCATGGTGTTTATACTTGCGTACTATTGTTTGTACAGATGAACGTGGTACCTTCAGGCATTTGGAAATTGCTCCCAAGGATGAACCAGACTTGTGGAGGTCTACCATTTTTTTTCTGAGGTCTTGGCTTATTTCTTTTGATTTTCCCATGATGTCAAGCAAAGAGGCACTGAGTTTGAAGGTAGGCCTTGAAATACATCCACAGGTACACCTCCAATTGACTCAAATGATGTCAATTAGCCTATCAGAAGCTTCTAAAGCCATGTCATCATTTTCTGGAATTTTCCAAGCTGTTTAAAGGCACAGTCAACTTAGTGTATGTAAACTTCTGACCCACTGGAATTGTGATACAGTGAATTATAAGTGAAATAATCTGTCTGTAAACAATTGTTGGAAAAATTACTTGTGTCATGCACAAAGTAGATGTCCTAACTATAGTTTGTTAACAAGAAATTTGTGGAGTGGTTGAAAAACGAGTTTTAATGACTCCAACCTAAGTGTATGTAAACTTCTGACTTCGACTGTATTACTTTTCGATATGGGAGGATTGAGGATTTGGAAATGATCTGCAGTGCTCAGCTCTGACTTAATCTCAAAATGTTTTCATTGATAGATTTCATGTTTTTTTGTTCCATATTCTCCTATCAGTATGTGTATTTTGATTACCTTTTCATCAACATTGACTAATCTGTATTGATTTTCATGTTATGACCTGTTATATAACTATTCATACAGTGTCATCTTGGTCATGAGAGTCATCGGTCACAATGCAAAGACAACGTTTTGAAATCCAGATTTTCATTTTTATTGAAAAGTTGGCCAGGATTCTGTACAGCAGAGAGGGTGTGCGATACACAGGGTTAGGAAGTGCGGGGTGGATATTGAAACTCCTTTTCCCATGGTGCATCATACCCTGAGCCGAGAATCATGTGTAAAACAGCAAGATATTTCTCGTTCCCTCTTTGGTGCTGCAATGGACTGCAGGTGTAAGGAATGGGGGATGAAAAAGGGTGGTGGGGGGGAGGGGGTGTAGGAGGGAAAAGCCAAGGTCAGACCACAGGAGAGAAAGAGAAGAGGAGAGAGAGAGTGATGGAGGGGTTGTCTGATTTTCAGGTGTTCTTTAGCCAGGCGGTCCTTCAATTGAGGTTTCAAAGAGTGGGGGATATTTAACGTCACCCCTCTCCCTTGCTGTTTCAGATGGTAAGCTTCAGCCAGGGGTTCGGCAAGGCCTCAGACATCTCTCCTCCTCTCTCTCTTCCTCTGCCCCTCTCCCTCTCTTCCGCTCTTTCTCTTTCTCTCCTTCTCTGAGCCTCACTTGCTGGCCATGGTGTAGCATCCCTGCTGGTGCCACTGCATGTCGCGGATACGCCTCACGGACTGAAACTGGGGGTGACGGGCGCCGAATTCGTTGAAGTGTTTGAAGTCGCCCTTCTCCAGCAGGTACTGGGAGCCACGGTATCCGGGGAACTGGTAGCCCACCCAGCTGAGGGGAAAAAGGAGAATAACAAATTATGTCACTCGGCAAGTCCCTACGTAGGTCACTAAAATAACAGCTCTCCTACAATCTTTTCATTCTAGCTCTATGTGTTCTTAGTTGTGAGTTTAAACTCTGTCGATTGCTTTTGCCATCTCCATAGCAACACTTACGTTCCGCAGCTGACCATGATGCTGCCGACCCTGTCGGTGAAGCCATATGAAAACAGAGAAGGAACGTCATCGTCCATGATCTCCATTTTACGGCCCTTGAATTCCCCAACCTCGTACAAGCAGATCTTGTGCTTCTCGGGGTCCTGGGAGAGAGGGGAACGGAGATGTGTGAGAATGAGGGAGGTGTTCAGAAGGAGAGAAATGTACAGGAGAGAGACAAAAATGGAGAGAGAGTAAAGAGAGATGGAGTGAGAGGTCAGGGGGTAGCAAGTCACAAAGAGAGAGGATGTGTATAAGAGAGAAACATGAGAGAACAGAATTGACAGATGAGATGGTGAAAGGCGAGAGGAGTGCACCCACCATGCGGACGGGCCTGAAGGACAGCAGGTAGTCGTTCTTCTGGCAGTTACTCCAAGAGTCCCAACGGGGGAATTCTCCCTTCTCCAGGATGTAGTGCTCACCACAGAAGTTCATCTGTTCGAAGCCCACAAATCTATACAGGATAGAAAGACAGTGTTACCTTATTATACAGCTGTGTTGACATATCTTATTATGATTATTTTTTGTATGTATATACTGCTACGTCTACTATTATCACACAAAGCTACAGGGATAGCAGGCCATTAATAGCAACTAATATACAACATAGTTAAAAAAACTGGAGAGGTTGACTTACGGTCCACACTCAACGCGGAGGGAGCGGACGCGGTCCATGCCCATCTCACACACGTTCATGCACTCATTGCTGATCTCAACCATGCGACCCTGGAAGTTCTCCTGGTCGAACACAAACATCTGAGGGGGAACAGAGAAAGAGAAACAGACATAAGTACATCCTAAACACAGATGATGTCTGGCTGTATCAGTGATCCAATGATATTCCATTAGATTGGAGCCAGGAGAAGTCCTGTTAGTTGGGGACTACTTGCCTTGTAGGACATCATGCCCATCTCAGACTTCTTGCTCTGGGCAGCCTTCCCGTCGGTCTGGGAAGCTGTCTTGGACTTATCACTGGACATGATGACTGGAAGGAGAGAGAGTGGGATGAGCATGAAACAGTCTCAAAACAGTCAAGAAGACACATCCAATGTGCTGGGAATACAACAATGTATGGAATAGGCCATAAGGGATGAAGATGGAGTGAATGGATGGTATCAGAGGAGAGGGATATTTGGGGTTGGGGATGCAGTCTATGTGTTTAATATAGTGATGCATAATATCAATGTAACATGTATTATTATAACGACTTCTAATTACTGATTTCAAAGTGAAACTGCTGCTGAACAGCTGCCACTCCTCTTCCTCCCCCTACTCCCTTTACCCGTGTATGCAGGTGCCAGCATGTGTATCGTGTGTGTCTGCTGCTCTTACCTGTGTGTGTGATCTGCCTCACTCAGAGAGTGTGTGTGGCTCGGAGCGTGCCCCGCCCTTTTATACGCTGGCGCCCAGAGGAGGAGGATTAGACACAGAGAAACAAACCTGCTGAGGTCAGAACCAGGAGACAATAGAACCACCACATCATCAGAGAGGGACAGTCAGAGAGGAGGGGCCACCCACAGGGACCAATGAGATCCATAGTTCATTGAGAAGGATTGGAGGGGGGTTGATAGTGGAATACTGTACATGATGATAGGGTCTAACCACAAACAGATACAGTATCTGAGAGATAGAGACATAACACAGTACCAGTATCTGTGATAAGCAACTGATAACGTTTTTCGCACCCTGGTATAATCTGTGACGAAGACCTGTACATATATTGTGTTCATGATCATAATATAATCAGTCATATTTAATTTTGAGGAGCACATTTCCCACGGTCAATGTGCATAAGGTAGAAAATAAAATAAAAACAGCAACAATACATCAAAAAGTAGAAAAAAATATCACAATACATAAAACCATTACCTACTAATGAAAAATATATAGTTTTTAAGTGATCAAACATTAAAAGCTAACTTGAATAGGTAGGATGATATTTACTGAATAGGCTCACTATTTACAAGATGAGAGGACGTGAATTGTATCATCTGCTCATAATCAGTACCAACTTCTGTTAGAAACAGAACATTTCTGTTCATGTCTTCTCCCTGAGACTCATCTCATCGCCATTGGTTTTGAAACAGTTAAATGGGAGCTCAAGCCTGAAGTAGTCATTAACACATACTGTTTAATTGATGCATTATTGGACCTCACATTATCAAAATACAGGGTTTTGATTAAGAGAGTGTCAAGTCTATAAGGTGTCAGTATGATTTAGGTGGGGTGTGAGGAGTGAAGACTTGGCTATGCTTAAGGGGCCATTGTACCATGTATATGACTCAAGGATGGATGTATGGCATGATTCAGGTGTGTTGTGTGTGTGTGTGTGTGTGCGTGTTTGTGTGTGTGACCAATGTAATCTGTGTAGCCCCCCCTGAAAAGTGGGCAAAACATCTCTGTGTTTGTGTTTTCCTATGTGTTTGGTGACTGAGGGGATACTATTAAATAGATGTCAAACACTTTCTCATTCTCAAACGTTTCTAACCTGTCCATATTCTATTATATGCATATTTGTATACTGACTTTTTATCTCTACCCAAACGGTGCCTGTGCCCCTTTAATCTCCACATTCTCCACATCTATCCCGGCCTTTGTGACTGCCACACACCAAACTGCTGACCAGCACGAACTGACCGGGCCGCTATTGTTCCTCTCCCATTCAGGGCAAACCCCTATCGCTGTGCACAGAAAGGACTGGCGTTACATAGTATGTGCTGAGCTAGCGTGATCGAATGACCAGAAAGAACAGGAGCGCGCCGTTGGCCAGTGTTCCAGGTGGGGGAAATGTATTGTGCGCGTACCAAAGCCCTGCGCCATGGACGCGCTCCAAGAGGCGCGCTTCTCGTCAGTCCATATAAAACTGAAGCGCCAGGATCGCTCAAAGCTCTACGCGAGATAGCGTTAGGCGCGTGCCACTCCCGAGCTCATCACGAATAAGTGCCAAACTAGGTAAGGTGCCAACTTCGTAACGCATTTAATGCAAATTATAGGTACAGTCAGTCAGATATGTTATAACAGGCTTATTCAAGACGCCTTTACACATTCATTTAAAACTCACCAAAAAGCACTAACCCTGTAATAACACGTTAACCTGCAGTGCACATTGCACAGATTGGCTACATAATGTATAGACTCGTTTAACTGATCCCTGCCTCCATATTGCGCTATTCGGGTGTAGCCTAAAAACTTGGATGGACAATAAACGATGTGCTGTTTTACCGTTAGGTCACAATAATCTCGATTTGTTGCGTATTATTTGTTTTATACGATTGGCTATAACAGGGAGCGAGTTTGTTAGATAAAATACCGTGTTGCTTTATCGTAGATTAATTGATCGGCATTAGTATCAATTCAGCTCATCTGAGACTGTGCAGTGACATTTGTTCGAAATAGTGCATAGTGGATAGGAGAAGTGTTAAAGGGGAAACATTTAGGAGATGTTGTTACTTAGGCATGTTCACTTGAATACCAGTGAGGTTGTTACTTAGGCATGTTCCCTTGAATACCAATGTGAAGCCTTGATTATAGAATAACATATAATAGAATAATACATAATATAATGTTACTCTGTGTGGATTGTTGGCGTTGATGTGACAGATAGTGTGTAGGAGAGTTGGTGAGATTGTGTAACTGAAAGTTTGACCCCTGCCTCAGGTGTAAAGATGTACAGAACCACTAGATCCCCAATGATGCAACCCCTGGTCAACTCGGGAATGGGCGTGGCTCCTTTCTTCAAGGTAACACACCTTAGATGAGACACATACAGGAGCACACACCTTTGCATAAGTGGGATGGGCACTGTCCCTCTCTTTTCTCATCTTCCCTCTCTCCCCCTCCCCTATCTCGCTCTCTGTAGGTGACTGTGTTCGAGCAGGAGCACTTCCAGGGCAAGTGCCAGGAGTTCACCTCTGAGTGCTGCAACATCCACGAATGTGGTCTGGACATTATCCGCTCCATCAGAGTGGAGAGTGGAGCGTGAGTTTCACACTGTGTGTTTACTCCATCTGTTTAGTGTGTATGTTTATTTATAGAAAGAGGAATCCAGGTGTGTAATCTGTCTGTCTGTGTGTGTGGACGAGTGAATTATTTTGTTTATAGTGGCTGGTTCAATGTGGGTGTATAAGACGGTAGTGCAATGTGAAACTATCTCTCTCTCCCCCGTAGCTGGGTGGGCTTTGAGCACCATGACTTCCAGGGCCAGCAGTTTATCCTGGAGAGGGGAGAGTACCCCCACTGGGACGCATACAGCGGCTCCCTGTCCTACCATGTGGAGCGCCTCATGTCCCTGCGTCCCATCTACTGTGCTGTGAGTACCACAGTGTGTGAGATAGAGAGAGAAGATGACAAAGAGAAAGATAATCAATGCAGTTTTTTTTATGTCTGCCAAACGGAAACATTCTATTAGGGCCTTCCTTGAGAAAACCCCTAATTCTTGGAATATGATCATATTTATGCGTGTGTATGTGTAACCTTCCTCTCTCTCCCTCAGTCCCACATGAGCAGTCGTATGATGATCTTTGAGAGAGAGAACTTCATGGGCCGCAGTGTTGAGCTGTGTGACGACTACCCCTCCCTGCAGGCCATGGGCTGGTCCATGCCCGAGGTCGGCTCCATGCACGTGCAGTGTGGCGCGTAAGTTAACCTCTATTATTCACTACAAACACACATGCTACGTGTTAGCAAACAGCTGTGGAAGCTGTGGTTTAATACTTTGCAGACCTCAGATACACCAAACCTCAGTGAATATCCCCTATCTCTATCCCCCAGCTTTGTGTGCTACCAGTACCCCGGCTACAGGGGTCAGCAGTACATCATGGAGTGTGAAAGACACAGTGGAGACTACCAGCACTGGAAGAACTGGGGCTCCCACTGCCAGACCCCCCAGATCCAGTCTATCCGCCGTATCCAGCATTAAGAAGGGCTAGAAGCTGAGAGGCCCACGGACAGCAACCCCCAGCCCAGACGCTGCTCTACCCTTTACCCCCCTGCCTTACCCTGACGGGAAGACCAGCCGCCCCTAACTACCGACTCACCACATAGCACTGACACACAGCCGCTCCGAGGTACGATAAGAGACTATATCGCACCGGTAAAGCACAGGAACACACATACACACACTGACATGACTGACACTCCTATACTGATATAACAGTTTATTTTTATCAGGTTAGAGCACCCGCACACAGACACACACCTGTGCTGTACTACCTGAACCCCGAACCCCTCTGTCCAGGTCACCTGGGCTGAGCGGGGAGCCAAGCCACACACCCTGCTCCAACCAGCGGAGGTCAACGCATCAGCAGACACCAGTTTCAAGATGGCCGCCACTGTAGTGCAGCTCTAATGTGATGTTGTGTGTAGGAGGTTGAACCAAAGGTTAACTAATAAACTCATGTTCACTTCAGTCGCTCAGGCCTGTCCTATCATTGTGCGTGTGTGTTGGATAATCTAAAATAAATGCCATATGGGATCCAACATTGTAATAATCAGCATCTCATGATGTGCTATTTGGGTCTAATGTAATAATATCCAAGGGCTTGTATACTGCATGTCAAACCCTCTGATAAACATAGATTTAACTGAAAAACTACCTCAAATGAACCTGTTGCTTAAAAAAAAAAAATTAACAGCCTTGCTGTATCCATTCAGATTATTGTCACCACCTAGTGACCACTTAAAGACACTACAACACCATGATAGCCATCTGAGCTATTTAGGCTGCACTTAAAATAGATTCACACAAGGACACACAGGTGTTAAGAACATCTTTAATCTGATTATAAAACTGAAAACAGTCAAAAGTCTGGGGAAAACGGTAATAATGACAAACAACATGACGACAAGAACCATGATGTGATTCCATTCTAGAACAATCCGAAGCAGAATCGGAAGATGTAGACCTGTGATGATTGACACTCAACCAATGAAAGTCCTCAATTCCTGTGAAACTGAACTAACAGCAGTGTAAAACCTGATTTGTTGGCAACTCACAATGAAACATTTGCTATATGAATGAACCCAAACTCCTCTCCACAAGAAGCAAATAAAGCTGGTGTTTTTCTACACACGTCATTGAAAACTTTAACACAATGATGTCGTAAAGGTCTGGGCAGTGAGATGTAGACTTAAACAGAGCACAACTGACTCCGAGTGTAAAACACATTCATAATTGACGATCTAAGTGCTGAAAACTAGAACTCAAGCACAAAGCTCTAAAGACAGGGTGAGGTAGAAAAAAGGTACAACAACATAACAAATACTTCCTGATTTTTTAAACATCCATTTGTCCTCTTTTGTTTAACAATTGGTAATTTGGAGGAACTCAACCACCCAACGTTTCCAAACCCCCTCTTACATACACATTCATGCTTCTCCATCAAGCAGAAATCTGTACATTCCTTGTCGTTATGCCACGGCTGTCTATGTGGCAGCCCTCATTGATTCTGTACTGTGAGATGGTCCACACACAGCAGTTTGTCCATACCCCAGTCGCCTAGCAGGGGGAGGCAGACGTTTCCTGTGGAAGGTGTTGGTCACTCTAAGGAAACAGGGATGGAAGGGACATGGTTATAGTTAGTGTAAAAGCAAAGAAAACTCAGATTAGAGTTGAGTGTGATAATTTGACTGTTCAGTCTTGATCATGTAGGCTACCGTGTGTATGCACTCAACTCAGTCAGAGCAGAGATGACAGATATCCAATAAAAGGGGCGTGGTCCAACTCTCCAATGACATTGATCTCTTCTTCCTCAGAACTAAGCCCCCCCCCCCAGGAGCCAGGTAGCATGACAGGATGGACAGGGGAGGGGCTAAAGCCCCCCAACACGTCCACTTCCTCCTCCTCCCAGCTTCCTGTTGACCCATCGATGTCCACCTCTCGGATGGAATGTGAAGGATGGGAGACTGGAGGCTTTACTATCCCAGAATGCATCTGAACTGGGACCTTCCATTCTCTGATTTGGATTGGTGGGTTGTGGAGTTCTGTCTGTTTTTCTGCTCTGTCTGTCATCCATTCTTCTCCATCTCCAACTACATCAATACTTCCATCAGAATCCTCTTCTATCGCTCTGATGTCTTCCACATCTATTTCGTCCAGCCGTGTCTCCCTCTCTTCTTTCTGATCGGTCTTTCGTGGTTTGAACTTGGCCCATCCCGTTTCCTCTCTTTCTCCCTCTCGTTCCCCCTCTCCATCCTTCACTCTGCACTGTGTCTGCAGGACCTCCCTGATCTTCTGGGGTGTACCTGCTCTCCACAGGCTGGGGCTTCTGGAACTGAGATGGGAGGGTGAGCTTCTGAGAGCATCTGGGCTGGCAGGACTAGTTCTGCTTCTGGACATGCCCTCTTTGTCTCTCTCTCCTCCTCCACTCTGCTCCTTGCTGGCTCTGATCCTTTCCCAAGTTGAGGCTTCTTCCCTCCTCCTCTTCTTCTGTCTCTCTTTGTCTGTTCCCCCTCTCGGCTGGTCTGTTCTGCAGAGAGGCTGGGCTGTAGTCCCTCTTGGCTGGCCTGTTCTGCAGGGAGGCTGGGCTGTTCTCCCTCTCGGCTGGTCTGTTCTGCAGGGAGGCTGGTCTGTTCCCCTCTCGGCTGGGCTGTTCTGCAGGGAGGCTGGACTGTTCTGCAGGGAGGCTGGTCTGTTCTGCAGGGAGGTTGGTCTGTTCTCCTTCTCGGCTGGGCTGTTCTGCAGGGAGGCTGGTCTGTTCCCCCTCTCGGCTGGTCTGTTCTCCCTCTCGGCTGGGCTGTTCTCCCTCTCGGCTGGGCTGTTCTCCCTCTCGGCTGGGCTGTTCTGCAGGGAGGTTGGTCTGTTCTCCTTCTCGGCTGGGCTGTTCTGCAGGGAGGCTGGTCTGTTCCCCCTCTCGGCTGGTCTGTTCTCCCTCTCGGCTGGTCTGTTCTCCCTCTCGGCTGGTCTGTTCTCCCTCTCGGCTGGTCTGTTCTCCCTCTCGGCTGGGCTGTTCTGCAGGGAGGCTGGTCTGTTCTGCATTGAGGTGGTTCTGTTCAGGTGGAACTGGAGCAGATGTAACCTTTGCACACACACCAATGACTTTTCTCCTCTTTCTAGGTGGTCTGCCTCTCCCTCTCTTCACAATAGCCACTGCCCCGGACACTCCCCTCACACCCTCCTCGCTCTGTCTGATTGGCTGGGCACTCTGACCTCTGAGCTTCTCAGGGGTTCTGAATGGGCTGATTGGGGGATTGGGTAGGGGTGGGGATTTCTGGGTAGTGTCAGACTCTGCTGCTGACCGGGCATTGGTCTGAGAGATGACAACAACACTGACTATAATTAGATCACTCAGCCATAACACCTCTATACAAATTATACACTGCTAACAACTGACTGAAGAATGAATAAAGTATACTGAGTAAATAGTAGTAGATGTTTCATAACAGCAAATGTTGAGGAAAGTCACTCACCTGAGATTTGATCTTCTCAGCCGACCTGATTGGGCGGTTGACTGGGGGTGGGCATTTCCCTGTGAGAGACTCCGCCCCTGGTAACACAGTCTTCTCCATTCTGACAACACACACTGCAGGCTGGCATGGAATCTTGTTTGTTTGTGCACACACACCTGGCAACGCATCAGCGACCTGATTGACTATAGGTTGGATGTTGATCTCGCCTCGCAACTGTCTTCTGGTCATCACCCTCCCCTCTTCCCCTGGGCTGGGTGGCAAACTGGTAGGAGGTAGAGCTGAGGTGGGTTGGACACTGTTAGTAGGAGTTGAGTGTAGAAGAGGTGATGTGTGATTGAGAGGGAGGTGTGTGTGTGCGGGGTGTGTGACTGTGCTACACTGCTCTACCTGGGCCAGGTGTGTGTTACTCTGCCCAGTGTTAGAGGTGTGTGTATGGGCTGTGTGAGTGTAGCTCTGCTCTTCTCTGACTTGAGTGCTCGGAGTTCTGTGTTCAGCTGTGCTGGTCACCATCTGGGCTCCACTATAGTTCCTGAGGGCAGTGTAAGGCTCCGAGAGGCTGGCTGTGCTCCGAGCCCCCTCTCCCTGTCCCTCTGCCACTGGGTTGGATGCTGCCACCTGCTGCTCAAACGACCTGAGGAAGTGATCCAGGATGTCCCTCAGCTCGCCCTCCGCATGCTGCTGCTGCGGCCCCACTTCTGAGGAAGACTTGGCACTTCCAGAACGGTCACCCGCACCGGTCATCTCAGTAACAGTGTCCATGGCGCTAGGAGCTGCTACGGCAACACCCCTGCCGGCGTCCTGGCGACCACCACAGGCGAAGTCTAGGCCCATCATGATGTCCTCCAGCAGGGGGTCAAACTGCTCGGCAGAGTCCTCCTGGGGAGGGGGGGCCAAAGGGGGGAGGGGGGCAGTGTGGAGGAGGGCTGGGGCAGGGTCCAGGTAACGGGCAGGGAGATGAGGACGGAGTTGGGGGGTTGGATGGTGATGATGTTTCGTAGGTCAGAGCCTGGTAGAGTTGCATGGGTAGGGCAGGGAAGGGGAGGGGCTTGACCTGACCTCACTGGGAAGCCATCCTGAGGGAGAGGACTTTACTGTAACAAAATGTAACTTACCAAACAATATACTATCATTACACTTTACAGCATGGGCAAGTGAAGAATGCACAAACACATAGTTATAAAATCCATACAGTGAGGGAAAAAAGTATTTGATCCTCTGCTGATTTTGTACGTTTGCCCACTGACAAAGACATGATCAGTCTATCATTTTAATGGTAGGTTTATTTGAACAGTGAGAGACAGAACAACAAAAAAATCCAGAAAAACGCATGTCAACAATGTTATAAATTGATTTGCATTTTAATGAGGGAAATAAGTATTTGACCCCTCTGCAAAACATGACTTAGTACTTGGTGGCAAAACCCTTGTTGGCAATCACAGAGGTCAGACGTTTCTTGTAGTTGGCCACTAGGTTTGCACACATCTCAGGAGGGATTTTGTCCCACTCCTCTTTGCAGATCTTCTCCAAGTCATTAAGGTTTCGAAGCTGAAGTTTGGCAACTCGAACCTTCAGCTCCCTCCACAGATTTTCTATGGGATTAAGGTATGGAGACTGGCTAGGCCACTCCAGGACCTTAATGTGCTTCTTCTTGAGCCACTCCTTTGTTGCCTTGGCCGTGTGTTTTGGGTCATTGTCATGCTGGAATACCCATCCACGACCCATTTTCAATGCCCTGGCTGAGGGAAGGAGGTTCTCACCCAAGATTTGACGGTACATGGCGCCGTCCATCGTCCCTTTGATGCGGTGAAGTTGTAATGTTTCCACCTCCATGTTTGACGGTGGGGATGGTGTTCTTGGGGTCATAGGCAGCATTCCTCCTCCTCCAAACACGGCGAGTTGAGTTGATGCCATTTTGGTCTCATCTGACCACAACACTTTGACCCAGTTCTCCTCTGAATCATTCAGATGTTCATTGGCAAACTTCAGACGGGCCTGTATATGTGCTTTCGTGAGCAGGGGGACCTTGCGGGCGCTGCAGGATTTCAGTCCTTCACGGCATAGTGTGTTACCAATTGTTTTTTTGGTGACTATGGTCCCAGCTGACTTGAGATCATTGACAAGATACTTCCGTGTAGTTCTCGGCTGATTCCTCACCGTTCTCATGATCAATGCAACTCCACAAGGTGAGATCTTGCATGGAGCCCCAGGCCAAGGGAGATTGACAGTTATTTTGTGTTTCTTCCATTTGCAAATAATCGCACCAACTGTTGTCACCTTCTCACCAAGCTGCTTCGCGATGGTCTTGTAGCCCATTCCAGCCTTGTGTAGGTCTACAATCTTGTCCCTGACATCCTTGGAGAGCTCTTCGGTCTTGGCCATGATGGAGAGTTTGGAATCGGATTAATTGATTGCTTCTGTGGACAGGTGTCTTTTACACAGGTAACAACCTAAGATTAGGAGCACTTCCTTTAAGAGTGTGCTCCTAATCTCAGCTCGTTACCTGTATAAAAGACACCTGGGAGCCAGAAATCTTTCTGATTGAGAGGGGGTCAAATACTTATTTCCCTCATTAAAATGCAAATATATTGATAACATTTTTGACATGCGTTTTTCTGGATTTTTTTGTTGTTATTCTGTCTCTCACTGTTCAAATAAACCTACCATTAAAATTATAGACTGATCATTTCTTTGTCAGTGGGCAAATGTACAAAATAAGCAGGGGATCAAATACTTTTTTCCCTCACTGTCAGAGCATATGAGCGGAGTGGAGCGGGAGCGAGCGTGGAGCGTGAGCGGACGGATTTTGAACAGAGCGCAGAGCGGCATTTTTAAAAGGACGGAGCGTCGCCCTATGTCCCGCTCCAATTTCGCTCGCTCACACCACGAGTCTGAAGCATGCTCAAGCCTGACCCAGAATCCATCTGTTTAATTTAATTTGTGTCGTCCATGAATTTGTATTTTATAGAGCGAGAGGAGCAGCAGCAGCAACAAGAGAAAAGGGTTGAGGAATTCAAAAGTTTATTCACTGAACGCAAAGGCCCAACCATAACAAGGGAGAGAAAAAGAGAGCTGGATGTAGCATTTTTTGAAATGATTTTCATGGACTATGAACCGCTGAGTAAAGGAGAACGCGAAGGGATGCAACACTTCGCCAGCGCAGCTCAACCGGGCTACACCCCCCCAAGAAACTATGATAAATCAGTACTTTACTTTGTCAAATTTACATCTGAGATGCCCCATTCACATGCTTCAGCTGGCGATCAAAAACGCCGTTAACAAGCACGACAACATTAATAGGCTGTTAGTGAAAGTCGGGCACCTGGTGAAAAGTGTACGCAAGAGCACAGAGGAAACCGACCAATTAGGTGTCCGCCCCACAAATGCCTGCGCCATTCGATGGAGCAGCCAGCTGTGGATGATTCAGTCGTTCATCCGGTTGTTCCAAAAAGACCCGTTATGGTAAAACAAACTCAAGTCTAATGTTGCTAACATCACCCTGAATCAAGTACGGCAGCTGACACACCTTGTCAGTGTGCTGACACCACTAGCAGACCTCACAGACAAAATGCAGAAGGAGCTGGGGAACCTGGGGATGATCCTCCCTGCTGTCACAGAAATCAAATCCCTGCTCACCGATTACACTCACGCTGCACTTCCAATGGGCATCGCTGCTTTTGCAGAAACATTGGCAAACAACGTGTCAATTCGCTATGGAATATACTATACGGATTAACATCTCATTTTAGCGTCAGTGTTAGATCCCCGTTTCAAGACAGAATGGATAATCCGAGATGAGTCTGTATGCAACAAATTCGGGGAGATAAAGTAAGGCTGTGGTTTAAGCTAAAAGTGAAATACATGCAGATTTTGTTCCTTTTTTGGAGTGAGCGGGGGCGATTTGGAGTGGAGCGCGATGCAAACTGCGTTGAGCGCTGAGCGATAATGAGCAGACTGGCCTGATGTGGCTTTGAGCGGGGGGAGCGGAAGGGTGAACAGCTCCGTGAGCGAGGAGCTGAGATTCTCACCGCTCCACTCTGCTCATATGCTCTGCTCACTGTATGTCATGACAGAGGTGTGCGTGACTATGTGAAGGCAGACAGATGTCACTCACCGGGACAAGCTGCTGCCCTGCATTCTGTTGGCCCCTCCCTCTCTTTCTGCCCCGCCGCGAGGCTCCACCCCTCTCCTCTTCCACACCAGTGATCTCCCAGTCCTTGCTCTGCCCTCGCCTCTTCAGACGGATCTTGATTGGCTGCATCAGCTCCCTGGGCTTCAGGTAGAGTTTACTGCCGACCATGCCCCCACCCCTCCCCATCCTGCAGGCTCGGACCCCCCAACTCCACAGTCTTGTTCTCTGGGACACCTCCATCACTGCCTGCTCAACCTCAGACCCCTTCTTCTTCACTGTTCCTCTCGCTCCACCACCACCTCCTCTCGGCCTCCTGGCTCTCCTCTCAGTTCCTCCCCTCTTGGATCCTCCCGTCCGCCTCCTCCGGCCCCGCCTCCCTCTCAGGTTCTCCTCCTGTGGTTGGGCGGGATCCAGGAAGTAACTGATGAATCCAGCGATGTTTCCCTCGAAGCGCTCAAACCCTTCTGCCTCTCCCTCCCCCCCTGGTCCAAGTCCTCCTCCTTCTGGTAGCCCCATCCCCCATGTCTGGGGTGGGTCAGAGGTGAAGGGTTGGCGCCCCTCGTTCACATGCTCTCGGCCAGACGCAGACAGGGCCACGGACGAGATGGATAGAGGGATGAGGGAGGAGAGGGATTGGGGAGGAAATAAATGGGTGCAGATTCCCCAGAAGGCATGAAGATGGTAGGATGGGGATTGTTAGGGGTGTGATTCTCAGTTGGGGGACAGTATAGCAGGTGAGACAGGGGAATGTAGGGGACATTAGTGGGGAGCGGAACGGAGAGGGGAAGAGGGACAACAAAACCAGAGGCCTCTGTTCCCTGGATAGGGATGACATCATCAACATGGGACGCACTGTGAAAAAATGGCCCAGCTGAACCAGTGAGTGAGGTCACGAGGTCAGAGTCCACAGTGGAACAGATGGGCCCAGTGGAAAAGCCACCGTTGGAGTCACCGGTGTCTGTCTCACTCCACTTCAACTCACAGGCCTGAGTCCCTGAGTCTTTTTCACATGGAGTCGGTTTCATCCTCTCTCTGAACCTCATGGTGAGAGCTTCTCCTCCTCTCTTCTCTCTCCTCCGTCTTTCTCCTCCCATCTTTCTCTCTGTCTGAGCTTCACTGCTCTGCAGGGCGTCCGTTTGCACCCCCACGTCCCTTTGTGATACCCATTCCATCCGTCTCTTCTCCTCCGCCAAGCTTGGACCCGCTATACTCCTTGACTGCTGTACCACATCTTCCACCTCCCTTTCTTTCTTGTCATCCCTCTTTCCAACCTCCACCAGTCCTTGGATCCCCAGCCTGGTAGCAGCAGAGATCACCTCCTGCCTCTCTGCCTCCCCCTCTCCCACCATCTCCCTAGAGTACAGCAGACCCACCAGCCTCACCAGGTTGCAGGCCCCAAAAGCCTGGAAATCCAGTAGGTGGCTCTGCCCAGAGGGAGGTGCCGGTAAGGTGGACAGGGCACATGACAGCTGGGGGCTTAGGGCGGATAGGATGCAACTGTGGGCCGGTACTGACACCCCTGGTAGAGGGAGAGAGAGATGGATGGATGAGCCGGATGGTGTGCATGTTTACATTATAAGTGTGTGTGTGTCTCTATACCCTGTGCTCGGAGCACCGTGTCACAGAACTGTCTGCACCTCTGCTGCCTCTGAAGCTCTGCCAGGAGTAAGGCCTCGAACCCTGGCCTCTGATACCGCCACATTCCCACATCCACTAACAGAGAGAGAGGACGGAGTTAGGGAGGGAGAGAGAGGAGTCGATGGAAGGATGAATGGAAGAAGGGAGGAATATAGGTTGTGAGATGAAAGGATGATGTACTACAATAGGCCTATTCAATTGAATCTGTTAATTAGGCTACATCAGATGACACATTGGCCAATCAGCTGTTAAAAAGCATTTCTCTGAGTTTAAACTTAAAACATGACTTAATAAAATTACAAATTTAGGCCACAATCACAATCTGTTATGGGAAAATATTAACCCCATTAATTGTCAGCTGAATTGCAATCTACTTAATTGGTCGCACACCGTCGCAGACATTGCTGACACCTGCAGTGAGTTGACAGATAGCTGGCTAGCTAGTTACATAATCACAGCCAAATTAGAACGTAAGCTAGCTGGTTGTGCGACGGGCACCAGCTACCAACACTCTACTCAAGCAATGAGTATATAGATATTATTTCAAGTGGTGAAAATAGTTTGTTGAAGTGCATTCTCTATTAGCATGATAGAAATAACGTATTTGTTTAACCGTGTGATTAGCTAGCTAGTAAACGTAACTTAAAAGACAACATATTGCAACAGCTGCTAACGTTAGCTGGCAGAAATAAAATCATGCATCACTTTACTCACCTTTATCCAGTCATTCGGTATGTCATTTTTCTCAAATGAAAGAAAATGAAATTTCAAAGCATCCATAATGCTAAGTGCATAGAAGTTTAAAACAATTTATTTATATTTTTTATGTATTTAACTCTTAAGTGACCGAAGGCTAGACTCCTTGTCACGCCCAATTTGCAGCGGCCGCCATAGCATTTCTCTTGTTTTATTATCTATTAATTTCACTGTGAGGCTGTTGCAGAATGATTGAGTGGAAGGAGCTTCATACAGTCATCGGAAGGGCCGGAGGGAGGGGTATGTGTGTGTGTGGTACTGTTGAGAGAGCGCTTCTGCTGCAGCCAGTGATGCCAATTTAGCAATTTTGTTGCTAGATTTAGCAACTTTTCAGACTACCCTGGAAACTTTTTTTTCAAACAGCACCTAGCAACAAATGTAGCTACTTTTAAAAATGTATTTGGCACTTTTAGCAACTTTTGAAAAGTGACTCAAACGCTAAAATGCACGCATTTTCCCTCTAAATGACACAAAAACGATCTTCTGTGAGTGACGTCAGCAGCAGGCGCTCAGCTCGTGCAAAGGCAGCAGCAGGCCAAGCAGCACAACTACCTGGAGAGAGATGCCTAGTTATTTTAATTAAGTTGCTTGTTCAATAAGATAGCGTATATACCTTGTTATTAGCTTGTACCTATAATTGTTGATCAGTTAGGTAGCATGTTAACTAACTACCAATACACTGTTTAAAACGATAATTGTTCAGAATGTGTAGGTTTACTAGTTAATAAGAAAATAAATAAAATGTAATTGTTCAATAATTCAACATGTTGTGTTTAAAAATGAATAACTTTTAGCAACAAATCGACCTGCCTCTAGCAACTTCCACCGAAAATTAGTTGGCAACACTGGCTGCAGCAACAGCTCAGCGGAGTCTCGAGGCTCAGGAGAACAGCACGCGCGCACATCATGACAAGTGATGTGAGATTCAACAATGAACAGCAGCACTAGCTAGCTAGTTACATACTTCTCCCACAAAATTATAATTTACTTGGTTCTTTGTATCCTGATCCTACCAATAATTACAGCCAACACAGCAAGGGAGAGAAACTGAGAGAGGATCGAACAGTGTGCTTTCTCTCTGGGTATGTAGCTACCTAGCTAACATTGGCCTGAACGTTGAAGTCAGAGAGAGGGGAGCAACGTGCCGATTTGACACGCTAGTTTACTGGCTAGACACGATTCTGCTGTCAGAATGCCAGGTAAATGGGCAAAATATGGCCGAAAATGTTGCAAAGACTGTGAAAAAGAACGGGGTATACTGGAATGGATTAAGAGCATCGTTGGAGATGACAGAAAATCTTACTGTATGTATTGCAAATTAGAAATGCGAGCCCACCACGCCGATCTTATTTCTCATGCACTAACGGAGAAACACACGAGAAATGCTGCTCCATTTTCTAATGGAACTACACATGTAAGAGAGAATAACACAGTTAAACGACCAGCGTTACAGATGGCTGCACATATTGCATGCCGCTCCAGCATTGCAACTGTAGATCACCTGGGATGTGTTGTTGAAGACATTGCAAAGAAAGGTATCAAGATCCACAGAACAAAATACACAGCGCTCATAAATGCAGTTAAAGGGCCTACAGTGCATGAGGAACTAATAAAGGACATTGGCAATGAGTCATATTCATTGATTATTGTTGAAAGTACTGACATCACAACCAAGAAGCTGCTGTGTGTGGCGATAAGATACCACAGCAAGAAACTCTCAAATCACAGGAAAAACACAAAAGCAGGGTGAGTAACTTTTATGTTATTTTTGAGTCTACACACACACTTCCTTCAGTCATCTGTCTGTAAAGTCTCATTCCCCCAGTTTCTCTAACCCATCCCTCATATCTCTGTCTGTTCCTCTACTCTCCATCTCTGTTAGGTGGTGATGGTGAATAGCAGCAGCTCCAACTTGCATGGGGATCACCAGCATATACCTCTTTTGGCCCCTCACTGGCTGGAACCCTGTTGCTGAGTGTTCCCTAAAGTCCAAGAAATGGCTTCAATCTGGTAGTGGGGCTCCTGGTTGGCCTAACCCAGCACTTTGGGGGTGAGCAGAAAACACACACACACACACACACACTTCCTTCAGTCATCTGTATGCAAAGTCTCATTCCCCCTGTTTATCCAACTCTTCCCTCATTATATCTCTGTCCCTCTACTCTGTAGAGCAACATATGGCAGCAGCAGCAGCAGCACCAACTTGTGTGGGGATCACCCCATCCTCTAGATGGAGGGCTACTACCAAACTAGCACTACTGTTTTGGTGAGTACTTATCTCTACACATTAATTGACACTTATTATGAAATAAAAGAAGCCAAAAAGCAAACTTGGGGCTTTTAGGTTTTTATACTCAGTTTAAAGGAATACAATTAAGAGCAATGTTACTTGTATTAACACTATTTCACAATGATTAACATTGTGTTAACACCATTTCAAAAGAAGGGTTTCTGAAAAAAAACATACCTCTTAACCATTTACTATCAGTCACTTCTATAGTTCAGATTAAATCATTTCATGTGATGAATCAATAACAAAGGGAGAAATGCAGAGAAGCAATTTGACCATAAGTATTTAGATTGTCATTATATTGGATAAATGTGTGAATATTGGGGTAGTTTTCAGGCCTTTTGGGCAGGTTTTGAGTGGTCATTGCACTACAAATTATAGCTTGACCTGGCAACACGACTAAATGGGTTGCCATGCGTGTACCTGTAGAGAAAATCCATATGGTCTATGAAAATTTGCTATTTGTTTAGTATGTACTGGACTGTAAACTGTACAGACTTACATTTTTTAAAACCAAAACTTTATTCTCCATCAATTTGCATTTTTCTCCCTAATTACGATATTGTATTAATCTAAAACAATTAACTGTGTAGATCTAGGCCAGACCTACTGGAATTTAAATCATTAAATAAATCCACTGTCACTGACAGGCAGTTATACAGGGCTAATAAATCTAGATTAAGACATTAGAGCATTGTAGTCTAATTATAGCCTAGTAATGGTCCAGACTCCAGGTTCTCATAATCTGCACATTATATATACATAGCCCAACGGGCTGTTGAATAGAACAGACATAGGGACACCATTTTGAGTCAAAGACAGAACCCTCTGGGAGTCACGTGCAGATCTAATCATGATTTGATTATGAACTTCACCCCAAATTCCACAGGGAGATTATAAAAACCTTTGATCCACCTTCAAATAGAATCCTATGGCACAGGCAGAATTCATCCGAATTTCACGACTCAAGTTCAAAGGGTTCCATTCCCTCTGTATTCCAAAGGGTCAGTGAAAGGGACTGGGGTTGAAGGTACAGGATCCTTGTGCGGTTTGGGCCTAGGCCAACGTTCCTCAAATTTCTCAAAGAAGAGTGGATCGGTGAATGGCCCGGAGTAGATAATGTGCTGGATTAGGTAGATGATTGCCACGACCATTGCACTGATCAGAAAGAACGGTATGAGCGGCCGCAGGTGAGCCCACACGACCCCCACCTCATATATCAACGATCCCAACCCACCTTGGTTACCAGTGTGAGAGGTGCGGCGAGACGAGTCTGGGAACGTGGTGGGAGAACCATCCCGCGTGTTGGAAGACTGGGGAGAGAGGTGATCCATTCTGGAGTAGTAGAATGAACAGTGATGCAAAACTTTTTCACTTAGTTATTTTATAGCCTGTGCTGTCTCTAGTTAGGCTAATAATCCATGGAAAAAAATAAATGCAAAGAACATTCTGTACTTCTGTAGTTCCAGTCTCCTGTCACTAATCTCGTGCACTAGACACTTCCTGTGCGCAGTAGCTGTTGCTCTCTCACACAGACACTAGTTACCTCCAGTTCTTGTCAATAGTCCATGGCTGGTAGAGTTATGCCCTCTGCTCCAAGTTTAACCTGAAGACTTGAATCTTCATGGGTCTGGGGTCAACATGTTTAAATCCTCACTAACATGCCATCTGGAGCAGGTGGTGTTCCCTCTTTCTCAATCTGTTCTTTAGTTTTCCTTCTCCTGCCCTGCTGTGTGGATTCTTGAGAAACATGACACTGCGCATGATTGAGAGAGCAAATGAAGGAGAGTGGTATCTTTAAATAGATGTAGTACCAAGTGACAGGAGAGAGAGCGCGTGCAACGGGGAGGAAGGAGAGAGAATCTGCTGTATTAGGTGCCCTCAAGTTTAGGGAGAGAGACATAGGCTGGATGCATACCATACACACACTCTAACACTTACTTATTCTCTCTCATACACCCATACAGGGGCAGACTTAGTGATTTGGAGGCCACGGGCAGAGGAATTTTAGGACCCTTGTAGGTATATACAAAGAATATTTGATAAAACATTGAATTTGGCCTTACTGCTAGTCAATTTGATCAAAAATAAATATAGGACAGACACTTCAAAACATATGAGAGATATAAGCTCAGAAAAAGAAAAACAACGTTTTACAGTGGAATTACCTGGATACCTTTCGGGGAAATGCCCTATACACTTCCATTCATTTTTCAGCCCGGTACCGGGTTACCTTCAGACGAGTCCTGTGACACTTGTGGGGGTCGTAGAGCAAAACGGAGAACACCATAGTGTTTGTGAGTCTCAATTTATAGGACAAACTGTTCGGACTCTACAGACGTTTTCGTGAAAAGACAGATTTTTGTGATGTCTCCTGGTCTGACAAACATTGCTGTAGCTCTGCCACCTTCCACCGCAGATGCAGAAGGCCAACGTTGGATTGAGACGCAGTCCATGCAAAAAATTATCTAACTTAAAACAGATTGAGAATGTATTTGTTATGCCTCGAGCTGATAAATTATTCATACTTTTTTTTATGCCCAGCTCATGAGGCCCGTTGATTTGAGGTCTGAGGCAATTGCCTCTTCCGCCTAATGGTAAGTCTGCCAGTGCACTCATACACACCCACTCAAGAGGCCTTGTGATCCATCCTACAGCTGTAGTTTAATTGCATAAGCTATAAGGCAAATAGATGGCTGAAATACTGATAAGGGTTTACAAGGGGACATTGACATACTTTAAAGCACTCATGTTCATCGGTCACACCCACCCTGGTATCTTCTCACAGGGTGAGACATGAGTCAAAGAAGGCTGAGCACATTCACACTCAAATTTCATCTGTGGTCAAAATGTTCCCCAGGGTCACGTTAGCCTGTTAGAACACTTAACCTTCCTTCAGAGTCCACGCAATAGCAATGTCTATGACTTACTGGCAAAGGTGTGGACTCAAAAGCAAATTCAGAGGGCTATAAACACACATTTTAGGCATCTCAAATGTAGTAGATGCATACTTTAACTGTGAGTGGGGCACAAAACTGAGCAGACCGCTCAAAGCTTAAACCATGTATATTAAGGTGTGAATGTGTGTTTGAAGAGAGAGGGAGTCTGGTTACCCAGACGAACTAAGCAGTACCCCTTTAATTAGATGTGTTTATCCCCAAGTACACATCTCCAGCTGTCGCACATAAATCTTATCAAATCTTGTCTGAGAAACAATCTTTATTTTATAAAACAGTATTGCCAGTTACATATTCTTACTGAAAAAAAGAACTTTTCAGAGCCAAGGCAGGTATGACATGTTCATCATAATTGTACATGAATAGGCAATAATGCTAACGTTAAACGATGCATGTGGAAATGACAAAACACAACGATTGGTCTCTTGCCATTCAAAGAAAGTGGTAAAAGCAGAATAAAAAGTATAACAGTTTGCATATGCTTCACCCACCACTCCCAACAACCATTCCCAAATCAGAAAACAATATTAAAAAACACAGACACAAAATTAAAAAGTCAAAGTACAAAGAAGAAAAATAGATCTTATATACCAAAATGTGCTTTTAGTGTTTCGCCTTAGTCTATAGTCTGGTCCCTCTGTCTACACCCGAGTCACCTTTGAGGAAACCAATTCTTGCAATACATAACAAGTGTCATTTATAGAGAAGACCAACCCCGTTCTCCTTTTCAACCAATGCCATTGCAATGGGTCCATATGAGCAGCACATTGCTCGGTCTGGTGTAACAGTAAGTACTGACTGAACTATAGTGTGATTAGTGGTGTAAGGGGTTCAGAGCAATGCAGATAGTGTATTTTATTAAAACAGACACTAATAATGTCTAACATGCAAAATAAAGAATCTTGTGAGTTCTATGCAATACATTTCTATCAGCCACCGTAACAACCCATCCTAGTGAATAAGCCCCAGGTCTATAGTGGGGTTCTGTATAGTAGTGTGGGGAATGCGTTCCTAGTGTTGTAGTTTAGTGTTGGAATGTTATCTAGTGTATGAGCAATGTATGACTAACAGTTGTGGTGCTTTTTAACAGTGTGTGAACTGTAGTATTCCAGCTACCTGCACAGCAGAAGCAAATTCCACACTCACATAGGTGTAGGAGATCACACAGCCATAGTTAACCACATTTCAGGAGGGTAAGACACAGCAGTCTAACGGTCATATCTTTACATTAGGGGAAACAGACAGGTAAAAAAAAAAAAAATGGGTATCACTCGACAACATAAGACGCAGTTGGTACATTTGTAAAAGCCACAATTGAAAAGAACAGACAAATAAAATAAATTATATTTGCCACAGGAGTAGAAAAACAAAGCACAAAATGAAATCCTTTCAAATAAACAGGGTCATATGGGTTTTGTTCGTTAACAAAGCTCACACACAGATCTCCTGTATGACACTCACACACCGGCCTCAAACTCTCTCCCAACTAACCCAAAACCAACCAGACGAAGATAACTAGGAGATTAAAATAACTCCTATACAAACATTCTGAATCTATGAGGGCCGAGCCTCATTGGTCCACCAGCCACTCATGACCTTTCCACTCACAAATCCCAATCTGGGCACTATTTAAATTAAAATCAACCTTAAAAAAGGCAGACACCTCCCTCCCCCAATCAAACATGTCCTCTTTTTATATACATACCCTACAGATATTTAAAAATAAATTCTTCTCAGGATGTAGGTGATGGCAGCAATCTGATTCACGACAATGACAAAACAAAATTTTAAAAAATGGATGCGTATGAGGAAGATGAATCTAACGAACGACAAGGAACGCTCATTGAGCCAAATGTTGGATGTAAGTAACCATAGAAACAGAAATAAACAATGATTGTCAAACAAAGATGATTGCCTTGAAAAAGGGAATATCAATAAAATGTAAATGAGAATATATTTCTGATGCTACTATGATCCGTGTGTGTGTGTGTCTCAGTGTGTATTAGATTTCACCCTCTGATTGCAACAACTGCTTTCTTTGGATGCCAACCCTCATCTTCAAAACCACAGTCTTGTGATGGAAGGAGAGAAAGAGAGGGGGATGAGAGAGAGCAACTGTGGGTCTCTAGTGTTCTCTCCTCAGTAGCAGTGGTAGGGCAGGGGCAGCTCACTCTGGGTGATGCACACCATCAGTTTTTCTGGAGGAAGAAGAGATGATAGACGATACATTTGATTAGTGCATGTGTTAATACTTCAAAAGAATAAAACACAAACAGTACACTCAAGCGGATACTGTGGTGCAAGTATGTCAGGCTATACACAATATGCCAAAATAAAAGTGCCTAAGGTATACTGTTAGTTAAGGTATATGATACAGTGTAATACACCAGTCCACACAGTATACTATACCAGTGTGAAAGCCTCTTGGGTATTCAGTGTTATCCCTGTATTAATTTAGCAGTGGCTCACCGCCGCTGTTAAATTATTGCCGCCATACCAAATACGATACACTGAGTGTACAAAACATTAAGAACACCTTCCTAATATGGAGTTGCACCTCCCCCCTTTTGCCCTCAGAACAGCGTCAATACGTTGGGGCATGGAATCTACAAGGTGTCGAAAGCGGTCCACAAGGATAGTGGCCCATGTTGACTCCAATGCTTCCCACAGTTGTCAAGTTGGCTGGATGTCCTTTGGGTGGTGGACCATTCTTGATACACGGGAAACTGTTGAGCATGAAAAACCCAGCAGTGTTGCAGTTCTTGACACTCAAACCAGTGTGCACGAAACCTACTATCATACCCCATTCAAAGGCACTTAAATCTTTTGTCTTGCCCATTCACCCTCTGAATGGCACTAATACACAATCCATGTCTCAAGGCTTAAATATCCTTCTTTAACCAGTCTCCTCCCCTTCATCTACACTGGTTGAAGTGGATTTACAGGTGACATCAAATGGATCATACCTTTCACCTGGTCAGTCTGTCATGAAAGAGCAGGTTTTCCTAATGTTTTGTACATTCAGTGTGATATATATATACATATACACATACACACACACACACATACATATATACACAAACATACATACATACATACATACATACATACATCACACAAGTCAAAAGTTTGGACACCTACTCATTTAAGGGTTTCTTTATTTTTACTATTTTCTACATTGTATAATAATAGTGAAGACATCAAAACTATGAAATAACACATATGGAATCATGTAGTAAACAAAAAAAGTGTTAAAACAAATCAAAATATATTTTATGAGATTCTTCAAAGTAGCCACCCTTTGCCTTTGACAGCTTTGCACTCTTGGCATTCTCTCAACCAGCTTCTGGAATGCTTTTCCAACAGTATTGAAGGAGTTCCCACATATGCTGAGCACTTGTTGGCTGCTTTTCCTTCACTCTGCGGTCCAACTCATCCCAAACCATATCAATTGGGTTGAGGTTGGGTCATTGTGGAGGCCAGGTCTCTGATGCAGCACTCAATCACTCTCCTTCTTGGTAAAATAGCCCTTACACAGCCTGGAGGTGTGTTGGGTCATTGTCCTGTTGAAAACAAATGATAGTGGGACTAAGTGCAAACTAGATGGGATGGCGTATCGCTGCAGAATGCTGTGGTAGCCATGCTGTTTAAGTGTACCTTGAATTCTAAATACATCACAGACAGTGTCACCAGCAAAGCACCCCCGCACCATCACACCACCTCCTCCATGCTTCACGGTGGGAACCACACATGCAGAGCTCATCCGTTCACCTACTCTGCGTCTCACAAAGACATGGCAGTTGGAACAAAAAATCTCAAATTTGGACTCATCAGACCAAAGGACACATTTCCACTGGTCTAATGTCCATTGCTCGTGTTTCTTGGCCCAAGCAGGTCTCTTCTTATTATTGGTGTCCTTTAGTAGTGGTTTCTTTGCAGCAATTCGACCATGAAGAACTGATTCAAGCAGTCTCCTCTGAACAGTTGATGTTGAGATGTCTGTTACTTGAACTCTGTGAAGCATTTATTTGGGCTGCAATCTGAGGCTGGTAACTCTAAATGAACCTCTGCAGCAGAGATAACTCTGGGTCTTCCTTTCCTTGCCGGTCCTCATGAGAGCCAGTTGAATCATAGCGCTTGATGGTTTTTGCGATTGTACTTGAAGAAACGTTCAAAGTTCTTGAAGTTTTCCGGATTTACTGACTTTCATGTCTTAAAGTAATGATGGGACTGTCGTTTCTATTTGCTTATTTGAGCTGTTCTTGCCATAATATGGACTTGGTATTTTACCAAACAGGGCTATCTTCTGTATACCACCCATACCTTGTCACAACACAACTGATTGGCTCAAATGCATTAAGGAAATAAATTCCACAAATTAAACTTTTAAGAAGGCACACCTGTTAATTGAAATGCATTCCAGGTAACTACCTCATGAAGCTGGTTGAGAGAATGCCAAGAGTTTGCAAAGCTGTCATCAAGGCAAATGGTGGCTATTTGAATAATCTCAAATAAAATATATTTTGAGTTGTTTAACACTTTTTTGGTTACGACATGATTCCATATGTGTTATTTCATATTTTTGATGTCTTCACTATTCTTCTTCAATGTAGAAAGTAGTTTTTTTTTTTTTTAAACAACCTTGAATGAGTAGGTGTGACAACTTTTGACTGGTACTGTGTGTGTGTGTGTGTGTGTGTGTGTGTGTGTGTGTGTGTGTGTGAGTGAATATACAGTCGTGGTCAAAAGGATTTGTCTTCACAAAGTTCGCTGCTTCAGTGTTATGAGATTTTTGTCAAATGTTACTATGGTATACTGAAGTATAATTACAAGCATTCCATAAGTGTCAAAGGCTTTTATTGACAATTACATTAAGTTTATGCAAAGAGTCAATATTTGCAGTGTTGACCCTTCTTTTTCAAGACCTCTGCAATCCGCCCTGGCATGCTGTCAATTAACTTCTGGGCCACATCTTGACTGATGGCAGCCCATTCTTGCATAATCAATGCTTGGAGTGTCAGAATTTGTGGGTTTTTGTTTGTCCACCTGCCTCTTGAGGATCGACCACAAATTCTCAATGGAATTAAGGTCTGGGGAGTTTCCTGGCCATGGACCCAAAGTGTCGATTTTTTGTTCCCCGAGCCACTTAGTTATCACTTTTGCCTTATGGCAAGGTGCTCCATTATGCTGGAAAAGGCATTGGTCGTCACCAAACTGTTCTTGGATGGTTGGGAGAAGTTGCTCTCGGAGGATGTGTTGGTACCATTCTTTATTCATGGCTGTGTTCTTAGGCAAAATTGTGAGTGAGCCCACTCCCTTGGCTGAGAAGCAACCCCACACATGAATGGTCTCAGGATGCTTTACTGTTGGCATGACACAGGACTGATAGTAGCACTCACCTTGTCTTCTCCGGACCAGGTGTTTTCCGGATGCCCCAAACAATCGGAAAGGGGATTCATCAGAGAAAATGACTTTACCCCAGTCCTCAGCAGTCCAATCCCTGTACCTTTTGCAGAATATCAGTCTGTCCCTGATGTTTTTCCTGGAGAAAAGTGGCTTCTTTGCTGCCCTTCTTGACACCAGGCCATCCTCAAAAAGTCTTCGCCTCACTGTGCATGCAGATGCACTCACACCTGCCTGCTGCCATTCCTGAGCAAGTTCTGCACTGGTGGTGCCCCGATACAGCAGCTGAATCAACTTTAGGAGACGGTCCTGGCGCTTGCTGGACTTTCTTGGGCACCCTGACGCCTTCTTCACAACAATTGAACCTCTCTCCTTGAAGTTCTTGATGATCCGATAAATGGTTGATTTAGGTGCAATCTTACTAGCAGCAATATCCTTGCCTGTGAAGCCCTTTTTGTGCAAAGCAATGATGACGGCACGTGTTTCCTTGCAGGTAACCATGGTTAACAGAGCAATGATTTCAAGCACCACCCTCCTTTTAAAAGCTTCCAGTCTGTTATTCTAACTCAATCAGCATGACAGAGTGATCTCCAGCCTTGTCCTCGTCAACACTCTCACCTGTGTTAACGAGAGAATCACTGACATGATGGCAGCTGGTCCTTTTGTGGCAGGGCTGAAATGCAGTGGAAATGTTTTTTGGGGACTAAGTTCATCTTCATGGCAAAGAGGGACTTTGCAATTAATCTAATCACTCTTCATGACATTCTGGAGTATATGCAAATTGCCATCATCAAAACTGAGGCAGCAGACTTTGTGAAAATTAGTATGTGTGTTATTCTCAAAACTTTTGACCACGACTGCACACACACACACAGTGAGGGAAAAAGTATTTGATCCCCTGCTGATTTTGTACGTTTGCCCACTGACAAAGACATGATCAGTCTAATTTAATGTTAATAAGTTAATGGTACGTTTATTTGAACAGTGAGAGACAGAATAACAACAAAAAAATCCAGAAAAACCGCATGTCAAAAATTTTATCAATAGATTTGCATTTTAATGAGGGAAATAAGTATTTGACCCCCTCTCAATCAGAAAGATTTCTGGCTCCCAGGTGTGTTTTATACAGGTAACGAGCTGAGATTAGGAGTACACTCTTAAAGTTAGTGCTCCTAATCTCAGCTTGTTACCTGTATAAAAGACACCTGTCCACAGAAGCAATCAATCAGATTCCAAACTCTCCACCATGGCCAAGACCAACGAGCTCTCCAAGGATGTCAGGGACAAGATTGTAGACCTACACAAGGCTGGAATGGGCTACAAGACCATCGCCAAGCAGCTTGGTGAGAAGGTGACAACAGTTGGTGCGATTATTTGCGATTTGGAAGAAACACAAAATAACTGTCAATCTCCCTCGGCCTGGGACAGGGCCATGTACCATCAAATCTTGGGTGAGAACCTCCTTCCCTCAGCCAGGGCATTGAAAATGGGTCGTGGATTGATATTCCAGCATGACAATGACCCAAAACACACGGCCAAGGCAACAAAGGAGTGGCTCAAGAAGAAGCACATTAAGGTTCTGGAGTGGCCTAGTCAGTCTCCAGACCTTAATCCCATAGAAAATCTGTGGAGGGAGCTGAAGGTTCAAGTTGCCAAACGTCAGCCTCGAAACCTTAATGACTTGGAGAAGATCTGCAAAGTGGAGTGGGACAAAATCCCTCCTGAGATGTGTGCAAACCTGGTGGCCAACTACAAGAAGCGTCTGACCTCTGTGATTGCCAACAAGGGTTTTGCCACCAAGTACTAAATCATGTTTTGCAGAGGGGTCAAACACTTATTTCCCTCATTAAAATTTATAATCAATTTATAACATTTTTGACATGCATTTTTCTGGATTTTGTTGTTGTTATTCTGTCTGTCACTGTTCAAATAAACCTACCATTAAAATTTTAGACTGATCATTTATTTGTCAGTTGGCAAACGTACAAAATCAGCAGGGGATCAAATACTTTTTTTCCCATCACTGTATATACATATATATATATATACAGTGGGGAGAACAAGTATTTGATACACTGCCGATTTTGCAGGTAACTAAGTTGCTTTGGATAAAAGCGTCTGCTAAATGGCATATTATTATCATATTATTATCATGGCAAAGGAGAAATGCTCACTAACAGGGAAGAAAACAAATTTGTGCACCAATTGAGAGAAATAAGCTTTTTGTGTGTATGGAACATTTCTGGGATCTTGTATTTCAGCTCATGAAACATGGGACCAACACTTAATTATGTTACGTTCATATTTTTGTTCAGTGTGTGTAATATATACATTTATTACACACAACCCATGACCAAAAGTATGTGGACACCTGGTTGTCGAACATCTCATTCCAAAATCATGGCCATTAATATGGAGTTGCTATAACTTCTGGGAAGGCTTTCCACTAGACGTTGGAACATTGCTGCAGGGACTTGCTTCCATTCAGCCACAAGAGCATTAGTGAGATCAGGGACTGATGTTGGGCGATTAGGCCTGGATTGCAGTCGGCGTTCCAATTCATCCCAAAGGTGTTCATGGGGTTGAGGTCAGGGCTATTTTTTGCCATTGCTGGATTACTGACAGGGCACATGGCCAAGGGCCCCGATTGGGGTGCCCATTGGTTTTGTTATAATGTTTGAACATAAACACAAATGGCCATGGCAAACTGCATAGAATTGTAGGAAATTAACTTTTGCTCTTTGCCATGGAAAAATTTATACAATTATAGGGAATAAAAAACTAGTGGAAACACTGACTATTGTATACTACTACAGTATTCGTACCCTGAACTTCAATCAGTTTTCACTGCACACTATAACTGTGTACAAAACCAAGGTACTGAAATAACACAATATTGACAGTGTTACAGCAGAGATAGGCAATAGGTATCAAAGACAAAGGATGGAGATATAGAGTCCATGCAGGACAAGAGGTGAAACGTACCATGCTGTTACATGCAGAGGGAGAGAGGGGAGGGGGGCTAACCATCGTAGGAGTCCAACAGAGGCAGTGAACCCTTTCTGCCTCCATACACCCCACGCTGAGACGGAACGAGAAAGACAGAGAAAGAGTGAGAGATTGTGAAAGTGAGAAAGATACCCTGAGTAGAGATGGTGGTCGTCAACCAAAAGGCAAAATAGAGAGACGTTTTAAAAAAGGTGTGAATTAAAGAGAACGGGTTAAAGGCAAGTGTGTTTAAGTGAAAGAAACAACGTGTACAGGGCAGGGGTGTGTTACCTGTAAAGTGTCTGTGGCGTTGAGGGAGTTGTCCAGAGTGTGTCTCCTCTCCCTCTGGTCCAGTGTAGAGTAGGCTTCTAAGATGTAGGGAGGAAGAGCATGAATCATTGATAGAAAAATAAACTAATAGCTGGGCTTAGCTTTGTCAGTGTTCCTATGGATACGCACCAGGCCCTAGGTCATTTAGTGGAATCATGTCCCTCTTCTCCCCTGTTGAAAAAACAAAAACCATTACATTCTGTTTGCTTCCCTAAAATTCCTACATTTTACGTCTAGCTTTCACTTGCTGTTAAGAAGCAAGTCTGACGCAAATACAACTCTATTCCAAGAGTCACCTCTGTCTAGCAGTGGCATGGTAGTGTCCTCATAAGTCCCATTGGTGCGTGTAGAGGGGCCGTTGGCGGGGGGGTTGTGGTTCACCATGAAGTCGGTCTTCTTCCAGCCGTCCTTCTCCAGGGGGCGCCGCAGATCCTTGTGCCCCCAGACCAGCTGTAACACCTGGCCTGCCCCACGTACCTCCCGCTCAGAGCGCTTACTGCAGGACCAATAGACAGACACTCCGTTAGACATGTACTGTATGGACACTGACCTATCCGTCTCAAACAAACGCACACATAAACGCCAAGAATATACACTTGTTAATGAGCGTCAGTTCCACACACAAACACTCTCTCTCCCTCTCTTACCCGTCCTTGTTGATGAGCACCAGTCTCTCGATGCCTTGGGAGGCCCTGAGGGTCTTGGCGGCCTCCAGGCTGTTGCCCAGCACCTCAGTGAGTGTGCTCAGTACAGACACCACCGTCTCCTCAGACAGAGGTCGTGCCGACTGGCTCTGGCCACCCGGAAGGTCTGCCACCAGGTGGGGCACAGCGTGCTTACCTATGGGAGGACAGGACGGACAGATACAACAATACATACACTAAAGAGTGGATCTGAAACAATCCAGAAAGGAATTACATTTTTTCAAATAATGATGAAAAACGTATTTGATATGTGATAACTAACATGCGATATCTGATACACACACCAACTTACCGAGTAGCTCGCGGTTGCGGTTGTCGATGGCCAGGTTCCTCAGGGCTCCGGACATGGCTCTGACCACACGATCGTTCCCATGAGCCAGCAGCTCTGCCATCATGGGCAGGCCCTTCTCCAGACGCACCGTGGCCCGGATATAGCGACCATACTGAGGGACAGAGAGGGAGGGAGAGGGAGTAAGCTGCGATCAACATCATTGGGGTGATGCTATGGATCAGAAAAAGATACGTAAGACAAGGAGGAAAAGGTGCGAGGTCAGAAGCCGTCCACTCACAGTCCAGCGTCCGGCACACAGGTTCTGTATGGCCCCGGCTGCGGCCTCCAGCACTGAGGGGTTCTGGCTCTCTCTCAGCAGGGACGTGTACACACGCACCACCTCTGGCTGGAACAACAGCTCATAGCCTGGTAGGAAGAGGGATTTCAGTAACTGATTCTGTGTTTGCTGTGTTTTCGTATGGTGTTTTGACTCACCTTTGGCAGGCATCGTCCTCTTTGGAATATCAACCTGGTCCGCACTCCCGTCATCCGCATCCTTCTTACCTAGAGAGAGAGAGGATGATGAGTGGGGATGAAGAGAGGACAAAACAATCTAGAGATCATTCCAATCGAAGTAGATGTAAAAAATAAATATTAGGTGCATTTGAATCTGTTCCACCTCAGCCCTTTTTAACAGATGCAGATTCTCCTCAGAATGACATCATGGTATCATGCACTAGTTGAACAGCATGCACTCCGTTTGTCAAGTCCCATTTACAAATCTACAGACCAAGTAAAGGCAATGTTAAGACCAGCCAGCGTTAGGAAAAGCCCTTATTCAGCCACAGTACAAAACGCCACCAAGAAGGCTGCGTTTACAGCGGCAGCCCAATTCTGATATATCTTTTCAACTAATTGGTATTTTGACCAATCACATTAGATCTTTTTCAAAGCTGATCTGATTGGTCAAAAGACCAATTAGTGAAAAACAAGATCAGAATTGGGCAGCCTGCATAAACGCAGCTGAAGAGAATCTTACCTTTGGAAAACCACTCATCTAAACAGGACAGGAACACAAGAAGAGGATGGGCGGAGGACAGAGGGAGGGAGAGACAGTGGAGAGAGTGTGAAAAACTGAAATAGTATCCCAGCTACCAACAAGCACAAACCCATCAGAACCACAGGAGCAAAATCCAGCTCCTGGCACCCAAACATCACACACAGAGTAGGATTATGTTGCCACTAACCATAGCTTTAGTCCTGTTTAATGAGTCAGAACTGGGGAGAGGGTAATCTGATCCTAGATCTGGGGTTAAGGGAAACTTTCTACCTCTAGCCATAGAGAACACACAGGCTGAACTATGATCTTTAACCCATAAGAGACTAAGCTGGGGTGGGGGGGGGTTCTACTAACTATAAAAATCTGAAAAAATTATTTGTTGAAACATTTTATTTGGCCATACCGCTATTAGCCCATACAAACGCATTGAGATATATACACACACCGGTCAAAAGTTTTCGAACACCTACTCATTCAAGGGTTTTTCTTTATTTTAAAAATGTTCTACATTGTAACTACTATCAAAACTATGAAATAACACATATGGAATCATGTAGTAACCAAATAAGTGTTAAACTCAAAATATATTTTTTATATTTGAGATTCTTCAAATAGCCACCCTTTGCCTTGATGACAGCTTTGCACACTCTTGATATTCTCTCAACCAGCTTCTTGAGGTAGTCACCTGGAATGCATTTCAATTAACAGGTGTGCCTTCTTACAAAGTTAATTTGTGGAATTTCTTTCCTTCTTAATGCGTTTGAGCCAATCAGTTGTGTTGTGACAAGGTAGGGGGGGTTTACAGAAGATGGTCTTTTACCAAATAGGGCTAAGTCCATATTATGGCAAGAACAGCTCAAATAAGCAAAACAAATGTTCTTATGCTAATTTGATTTAAACGGAGGCGCAGACATCAACCTTTGGGGATTTACACGCCAGTTACTGACCTTTGCCCTTCCGTGAGCCGAAGCAGCCGGCCTTGTTGGAGCCGGGGGTGGGGCCCTGGTTTAGGGGCGCAGCCTCCAGGTAGCGCTCGCAGCCGGGAACCTCTCGGTGAACCTGATAGGACAGATTCCTCAGCAGACAAACACTGTTCTCCACCAACTGCAAAGAGACAGGGAAGGTTTTAAAGGGTCTTTATTCAAGTAAGTAATTGTGAAAGAAATTAAGAAAATGTGCATAAGCAATGGATTAGAAGTTAAGGGTTGTGTTAAACACCTTGTTGTCCACATCTTTGCGGTTGATCTGTGATTGGACAATGTACATCAATGAATCCACCAATCCTGCACACTCTCTCAGCTTTCGCCTGGCCTCACTACGTTCTGAGCTCACGTTTCTGAACAAGAAAAAATATATAGATACAACGTTAATGGTTAATCTTCCCCGGAATTGACCAATACATATTTCCTTGTTCCATTCCCTCCTCCATTAATCTCCTGCCGTCCATTTCTTCTCCCTCCACGCACCTCAGACAGCCAGCTGTGTTGGTGAGGGCCGTCTCCCACTCCAGGTGTCGTGGTTTGAGGCTCTCCTCCCCTCCGTCACTCCCTCTCTCCCAGCCAGAGTGCGGCACCATCACCTCGTCTGAGAGGGCGTGTAACGCGTGGTCCACGATCTCCATCTTCACCGAGTCGTGAGACGAAAGGTTCCACAATGTGCCTGAGGAAGAAGAGGGAGATGCGTTCTTGGTCATCTCCATGACACTCTATTCTCTGATTGGGTCCAATAATAAGGAATTATAGTAGAGGTTATAAAGCTGAAGTATAGTAGGAATCATGACGCGTGTTCAATAGGGCGATATGGGCGACGCACTGCCAAACGGGAAAAGGAAGGGATTTTTTTTTCTAATCCATTAATAAAAAAAAAAAAAAAAAAAAAAAATATATATATATATTTTTTTTATAATTTATTTATAAAAAATTATTCACGCACAGCATTTAGCAGGTTCCCGTCTGATCTGACAGCCACTAATGGTCCAATAATGCTAAAGTCGTGCTTCAAATGGCCCCCCGCCCGTTTTTGGGCGATTTCAGTCAGGTTGAAATCGCCCCGAAGTCGCTCTAGCCCTGTCATGTAAATCTATTTTTGCACATTTCAAGCTTTCAATACATTCTCTATGGGTGTCTGTGGCTTGCACTTACGCGCTTTCGTCATACATAACGTAACCACGAATGAACGTAACTAAGAAAAGACCAGGTAGCAGCCTCAATCAATTCACTACTACTATCAAAATGGCTAGGCTTCAGTCCAACTCGATTGTGTCTTTGAAAGAAGTTCCTTTTTGTCGGCGAACAAATTAAGATAAATTGGCAACGAAACAATTAGGACCTCCCAGACCAAATTTAATAATTCAACAGGTTTCTACTAAAGGCGGAAAGTCCTACACCCGAGGATTTTCCAAAAATTGGTACGAACGAAAAAAGACATTGCGACTCACTCAACTGGATGACGAGGGATACAGGCTAGCTGTCCGCCGCCACAACGATGAGGTTAGTGTTGATAATCACAAGTTTACTGGATGTGGATATGGTGTAATAAAGGCAGTTTATTCAGAGGTAAATATATCTGGAATCGCGTTCACGGACCCGTTCGTCAAACTCTTAGGGAGCTATACATTAAGCCCCATTACTTACCATATCAGATAAGAGAAATTGCTGCAGCTACATATATTTTACATCCTGGCCCTACATAGTTCACTATTTGCATCACTTACCAAAATATTACATGTGGTCATATATGCTTGGAAAGTGGAGATGCCATAGAACGTCAAAAAAGTAAACATTGCTGGAGACACATTGTCGTTTTGGAGAAGACATCGCGTTTGCTAGCGAAGAGATTTGTTGTGGCAAATGAACTTGGCCTGGGAATTGCCAGGAACCTCACGATAAGATATATGCATCAGCATTGCGAGTCTCATGATTCTATACGTATTGCGATTCGATACTGTGATTTTATTGCGCACCATATGTCTGTTGCAGAGGGATCAGAAAGCCATGAGAACGAGTTTTGATCAGTCATGGAAATAAAAGTGCTGAAAACTAATTGGCTCCCAATGTGAAAAGATTGAGAACAAGCTATGAAGGAACAATAATGGTGTTTTGGTGCAGGTACAGCCAACTAGCGCTAAAATATTGCGATATTGTCAATACAGTATATCGTAAAGTATCACTATGTAACTCGATTTCTTTCACCCCAATCCCTCAAATTAACGGTAAATAACTGAATTGTTTGCCCCACATTTAGCTAAGATGATTAGCTAGCCAGCTAAAATGTTTTATTTAGTTAGCAGTCGCATCTACAATAGTTTACTGTCAATAACATGTCTCCAAAAATGACGTGGTGTCTCCAATTGTGTTGACATTTTACAATTGCAATGCGCATCCATGAGTATCCACTTTCTGTAGCTCAGCTGGTAGAGCATGGTGCTTGTAACGCCAAGGTAGTGGGTTCGATCCCCGGGACCACCCATACACAAAAATGTATGCACGCATGACTGTAAGTCGCTTTGGATAAAAGCGTCTGCTAAATGGCATATTATTATTATTATTATTATTATTATTATCTGAAGAGAGCCCCGAAACATTGTGTGCAGACATTTTATGCAATAAATGAAGTAGGTTCAATCTAGTAGTTCTGATCTTCTGATTGGTCCTGATGAGTTGGGCGAGGTCACCTCCAGGCTACTGTCACTGTTGCATTGGCTCTGAGTCGGGTTCTCTGTCTTCAAATGTTCAGCCTAAGAGAGGGGATTTTTGTGTGTGTGTGTGTGTGTGTGTTTAACAGTGATGATGTGTGTGTGTGTGTGTGTGTGTTTAACAGTGATGATGTGTGTGTGTGTGTGTTTGTGTGTGTGTGTGTCCTCAGAGCAAGAACTCGTGAGTTGGAAGAACTGAGAGGCCTATGGCGTGGGTGTTGTCCTTGGCCACCTGCTGACAAGGCTGACAAGATAGGACCCTTTTGTCCATTGTTATTGGATAGGAACAGAACTTATAACCAGCTCCTGACCTAAATAGATCTTAGCACAACATTTTACTCAACATATCATATTCCATATTCACTATAACAAATATATTTACTACGACATTAGCAAGAACCGCCACATCCTCAGCCGGCTAATCCAGTGTGTGAAGTTTTGCGGAGTGTTTGAGTTAGCTTTGCGAGGCAAAGATGAAACTGAGGGCTCCACCAACCCTGGTAAGCCAACACTTTTGAGATCAGTCAATAAATGCTTCTGGTATTGGCTTATATGCTGCCCCTGTCTTCATGTTGTTGCTGGACATATCTTTTTTTAAAATGTGTGTAGGTCACCTAAATCATCAGAAAAATTGCCCCTCCTGAGAATTTTTTCAGGAGCCGCCACTGGTAGGAATACTACATGGTAATACTGGTGTTTTACTGTCCCATAAGTAGTACGGTAATAGTAATGCAAGTATTACAGAGTAGTTAGAACAGTCCCTCCAGGACTCCGTGATAATTTACTTGGTGGCAAAATCAGCACAATTACCACATATGGTTCAATCAAGCCACACGTCAACAAACATTCTCCCTCGTCAGTGCATTTCGCGACAAATTGGTCAAAATCATTGCATATTGCCATGCAAAATTTCAGAAATGCCGCAGCAAAATCAAGCATTTTTGCCAGCAAACAGCACAGAAAATCCCTTTGAAATCCTGGAGGGACTGAACAGTAGTATTACCTGTAATGGTGTCAGTGAGGTCTTGGTCTCTGGCCTTCCTCAGTAGCCGGACTAAGGCAGGGATGCCGTCACAGTTCTTGATGGCGATCTTGTTGTCGTGGTCTGGTCCGTACGAGATGTTCTTGAGCGCCCCGCAGGCCGAGTGGTGTACGTCCTTCTTGGGGTTGTCCAGCAACGAGACCAGAGAAGGGATCCCCTTTAGACGACGCACCTCCGATTTCACCTACACAACCAACATGGTCACACACCAAACCTATCCTAAAAACGCTGACAGCAGTACTTTAACACTTGTAATATCCATAATTTCAATACATTTCTGTGTGTTTGCAGGTATAAAAGGTTTGTGTGTGTTACCTTGTCATTCTTGAATGTGAGGTGCTGGAGGAAGGCAGCAGCGTTGGTTTTGACCGGGTCCAGCCTGTAGTTCAACATGGCGATAACCTCCGGAAGCTCCGGCTGTCTCCAGGAAGTGGGCGGGCCCTTCCTCAGGGTGCTGTCCAATGACGCCATACTTCCCCTCTCCATGTTGACGCCCCAGGTGTAGGGGTCGACTCCTCCCACGTCCCCTTCCAAAGTGTCCTCACAACTCCTAAGAGACAATCAGACATGAGTGAATTGGTGTGTGTGTAGCCTATTAGTGAGAGTGTGTGTGTTGTATTGGAGTATGGTGTACATACATATCCGAGTGGTGTGTGTGTACCTGAGCCTGCGTCTGTCCAGTCCTCCAGGGCCTGGGCCTAGTCGTGGCATAGTTCCGTATGCTGGATGCATGGTGGGAGGAGCCATACTGTACTCCACGTCATCATATCCCAGACTCCTCTGGTCATCCTCCATGCCATAGCGGCCCTGGTGGGCGTAGCGCATGCCCCCCAACTCCAGGGCACTGCCCATGCCCCTCACCCCTCGCCCCACCTGAGGCTGGGCTGCGTAGGGGTCCAGCTGCTGTCTGCTGGGGGCGCGGTACCCAGAGTCCAGGGTCCTGTACCCATCCGCAGGTCTGGAGAGAGACAGAAGATCAATTATCCCAAAGATACGGGAATCTTCACAAAGGAATACTAGAATTATTTCTTTACAGTGCTCTTTAGCGTTTTCACAAACTTTAACGACAGTGGTCTGACCTGTAGCGGTCGTCCATGTGTATGCCCCTGCTCAGGCTGGTGTAGGCCTCAGAGGGCGGGGCGCTCCTGTAGTCGTCGTACCCCCCCGCGGGGCCGTAGTGGTAGTTCCTAGGGACCGTGGCTGTGGGGTAGTCCCCCCCTCCACCCTGCCTGTAGGAACGGTCCAGAGTGGCACTGTAACCGCCCATGCCCGAGACGGACACTCCCCCGTCGATGGACATCGAATCAGAGGGCAGGACGGTACGTGAGGTGATCATCTTCTTCATCTGAAGAAGAGGAAGTACATCACCATGAGACAGGAAGTTGTAGAGAATCGTTTGTCCTCCATGGAGAAAATTATTTTCAGTTACAGTACAAAGTGTGTGTTTTCGTACCACGTTCCCTGCCTGCCGTCCATTGGTTCCATCGTCTGTGAAGACTGAGTGTACTTCCTGGGAATCACCTTCTGGTGTGTAGCTCTCGTCTAGAGCGCCATGCGCTGGGTCCACCATCCTGTACTGTAAACACAATGTTACACATAGGGCATCACATACACTACACACGGGGCATCCCACACACACACACATACGGCATCCCACACACACACACATACGGCATCCCACGCACACACACACAGGGCATCCCACACACACACACAGGGCATCCCACACACACACACAGGGCATCCCACACACACACACACACAGGGCATCCCACGCACACGCACACACACACACACCACACACCACACACACACACAGGGCATCCCACGCACACACACAGACACACAGGGCATCCCCCACACACACACACGGGGCATCCCCCCCACACACACACGGGGCATCCCCCCACACACACACACAGGGCATCCCACACACACACACAACGCACCACACACAAGGGCATCCCACACACACACACACACACACAGGGCATCCCACACACACACACCCCCACCACACCAGGGCAATCCCACACACACACACACACACACAGGGCATCCCACACACACACACACACACACAGGGCATCCCACACACACACACACGGCATCCCACACACACCACACACAGGGCATCCACACACACACCACACACGGCATCCCAACACCCCACTCCAACCACAGGGCATCCCCACAAACACACACACCCCACAACACAGGGCATCCCCACACACGACCCACACACACAGGGCATCCCACACACACACACACACACACACCACAGGGCATCCCCACACACACAACGGTCACACACACACACCAGGGCATCCCACACACACACCACACCACACAGGGCATCCCACACACACCACACAGGGCATCCCACACACACACACAGGGCATCCCACACACACACACAGGGCATCCACACACACACAGGGCATCCCACACACACAGGGCATCCCACACACACAGGGCATCCCACACACACAGGGCATCCCACACACACAGGGCATCCCACACACACACACACACACACACACAGGGCATCCACACACACAGGGCATCACACACACTACCAGCACACACCTGTGTCCCGTTAATGTATCCCTCACTCAGTTTCAGTCGTTCTATGTCTGCATCCCCCAGACGCCCGTTCTGAGGAGGAGAGAAACCGTCAACCAAGAGAACACACTGATATCCACAGACGTCTTTAGAGATATTACAGAGGATCCAACTGGGTTGTATCCTAGGCTACAACATCTCCCTACAACCACCCGAACACTGCTGGCGTCATGACACATTAAGCAAGCTGACCTTGTTCTCTCAATACCTCAGTCATCGGCCACATTTTAATACTTTGAAAATGCATCCTTCCTTTCCTGCTCCCTTTGAGGTAATCAATGACCCAACCATTGCTTTTCTTTCACCACTCATTTCATGTTAGATCACTTCAATGAAGGATGGATGGAAGTAGGACACATAAAAAAAAAAGGTGGCTCCATGGCTGCAGTGCAGACTCACAATTTTTTTTATAACTGACCCCAGTCTGTTGTTTCCAATGAATCGGTGTCCAAACGTGGAATTATACTTAAGTCAAAATAGACAAACAAGAACACCTGAACCGGGAGAGGCAACACCCACCCAGTGACAGTCATGAAACATTGCTTAACATGCTGACACTAAGCATGGTAGAGGAGAATGACTGGACAACCTTAAACCAATTAGCCCTGCTAACATGATGACAACAAAGGCAACCCCTTCACCTTCCCCATCCGCCGATGTTTACTCAGTAAAACAGAGGAATTCTCCATGTCTCTTCACGGCTCTAACTGCATGGTAAAGCATAGTGACTTCACTGCTGTGGAGAAACACATGATCACATAACATAGGAGGCCATAATCATATTAGTAGTTCCTCTTAGTTGACATTGTGCATCGTTTAAAATTATGATCTTAGTGGTAGAATGAGGCTGCATGCGTGAAAACTGACTGCAGCATTCCAGGTGCAGTTTTAACCACAACATGCTGGGGCAAAGATGAGAATAGCTGTAATTACATGACAGAGGCCTGCAAAGGTATGTAAGGGTGGTATGAAGGTTTTGTGTGCATGGTGTATGGGAGTGCAGTAAGTGTGGTGGTGCGAGATGGAGTTATGCAGAGGTACGTGACGTATAACGCATGGCATGTTAAAGCTGTAGAGATATGTAAACACACACAGTAGTGTGTTAATGGATAAGGGTTGAAATGCAACGCACAGGTACCACACACACAATCCAGGGCGCCAGTGGAGGAACGGAGGGATGGATTATGGGGTTGGATGCGATGGATGGAGGGTGATAACAGTAATCACTGGATGATGGAGGGATGGATAGAAGGAAAGATTAGGTTATGACTGGTCTTTTCGCCTGCATCTAGAAACGACCCTAGGAAATCTCCACTGGGGAGACGTGGGGCTGGGGTGTTACCTGTGTGTGGGGGAGGGGGCGGGACGGGGGGCTGGGGAGGCCCACTCTCCTCCTCTCCTCCTCCAGCGCTCTGGTCAGCTGTTCAAACTGCACCTCCTGCTCCCTTACCGACTCCAGGAGAGTCGCAGCGCTCTCACACTGCTCCATACACTCTACAGAGAGAGCCGTTACACACACACACACACACACACTCTACAGAGAGAGCCGTTACACACACACACACTCTACAGAGAGAGCCGTTACACACACACACACACACACACACACACACACACACACACACACTCTACAGAGAGAGCAGTCACACACACACACAGCTCCATACACTCTATTAGGCTTGGGCGGTATACCGGGGTATTTGGCAATAGCCACGGGATGGTTTTTCAATACCGTCAAAACTATTTCTTTAAAGTTTTTCAATAAATGTTTATATTTGTAGCTACTTAAGTAAATACCTAAAGTCAACTTGTGAAATACGTTAGGAGATAAAGCAGAATGCGTTCTTCATTTCACCGGTCACATTATGAAGCTCACTGTAGTTCCCCAGAACAGTTGAGCCAGTCACGTTTGTTTGTAAATAGCAAAGGGAGAAAGCGGGAGCAGGTGAGTCCAGCTGTGTATTGACAGGGGTCACGTTTTATATTGAAAGTCAGTGTTTTGCTTCAAGAGTGATCAGGGACGTGCAACACATTCATTTTTCAATATAAAACGTGAACAGAAGTGCAACACTATTTGGTTGGCAGCCACACAAGTAAATGAGCTTACAATGAAAAAGCAAGGTATTTTTAGTCAAAAACAATGCATGGCCATCATATTTCTAATGTTTATCATAGAAAGAATGTAGCCAGCTACATTTCCTAAATGTTTTGCTTAAAGTTAATCTTGCATTTTACTGGAGAAAAGTACTGGAGAAAAGTAGCTAAACATCAGTCAGAGAATGTCTGCTGACAGAAGTGCAACTGAAGGGCAAAATGAGTGATGCTGAGCTGAAATTACAAAAAGGAGTATTTTAGCTCTGCGTTTACAAGATATTTCTTATGCGAAAAACGCAAAATTCTGCATTAACTAGCAAGTTAAACTTAAGGGTCAGGTTATCTAATTAAGTGGATGAATTAATAAGGTGACGTGTCATCATATTGTGCTAGCTTTCTGACATGTTTGAGAAGTCAAAGCCCTTTGGATGAGTTATTTGTATATCTGCCACTGACATCTTGATTTTCTTTACTTTTTTCTTATTTCCATTCTCAGCCCATCTGCTCCTCCCCCCTCTTCTCTGAGCAGAGCAGGCAGGCCCGTTGCCCTAGCGACTCCAGACAGACACAGTGTGTACATATGCTGCTCAAGAGCCGGTACTGTTCTGCCTTCAGACAAGCATGCTTCAAAACTTTTTTATTTGCAATGTCTCTCGTTCACATTCGCTTGTAACTGTCCAAACTCCCCAAAAATGACATTCGGTAGCTCCTACCTATATATGTATAACTTTAGTCAGCTGGCTTAACTATCTGCAATTAGTTTATTTTCACTTGCACTCATAAGCATATTTAGCTAGTAGCCTCCATGGAAATTCGCTATTACCTGTGGTAATTTTGTTAGCATTCTGGTAATAGACGCCCAATGGCATTGTGTTTTTTGGCGCCCCCTTGAGTACTAAGCCAGTAATACCGTAAATCCCGGTATGAGAGGACGGTATGACGATAGGAAAATCTGGATACCGCCCAAACCTACACTCTACGTTACACACACACACACGGCATACACTATAAAGAGAACCACACACACCTCCATAGCAGTATGAACCGCACTAAAGCAAAGAGCAGGAAGCCTCAAATCTCATCATGAAATCCCTAAGAGGTTTGACCAGCTGTCAAAGATAGAAGTACACTACCGGTCAAAAGTTTTAGAACACCTACTCATTCAAGGGTCTTTTTCTTTTTTACTATTTTCTACATTTTGAATTCGACATCAGGTTTATTATCACTATACGCGATACCATCACTATCCTTAATACCAAAGCAATAACACACAAAAAAGAATGCGTGTGAGCCAGTCACAGAATGGCTCGATCCAGACAGATAAACTCAGCTACTGCTCTGTTAAATCGTTGAGCACCTTTTGAGTTAAATATCATTACATTTGAAAAACGTTATGTCAATAGTTTAGAGACAGCCATGTATGCATTAATGATCAATTATACAATCATAATGACCGTTTTTACCAATCTAACTACAAAACAACAAAAGGTAATAATTTATTTGAATGGTAAATCTCTGATAAACTGGGTAAATCAAGATGTAGCCTAGGTCTATACACAACACAGTTGATTGCATATTATTCAACAGGAGTGTGTGCATGCATTGAGTTGAACTTGTTTTAGCTGATTTCATGGGGCTACAGATGAAACAATTTTATATGCATCTGATCAACAACATTTGCATAGAATAAACAATTATTTTATAAAAGTGTGCGCTGTTTCTTTAAGAAAGTAATGATGTAATTTGTGAGGCAGAATCTGACTGTGAATCTGGTGGAACCCAGACAGGAAGCGAGGGAGACCAAGTGAAGTAATGTTTTTGGTGACAATCAGCTTTTAAAAAATCTCCATATGTTGCATTATTGTTTGCATATTATCACAAACAAAGTATTAGGGTAGTGAATTGACGTTTGCGTCAGCAGTAAGCTAGCAAGGCAAGTTAGTCTAGTACAATTAAAGGAGGAAGCTACCGGTATCATCTTATAATAATATAATATGCTATTTAGCAGACGCTTTTATCCAAAGCGACTTACAGTCATGTGTGCACACATTTTTACGTATGGGTGGTCCCGGGGATCGAACCCACTACCCTGGCGTTACAAGCGCCATGCTCTACCAATTGAGCTACAGAGGACCACAATCTTGCATTGTAAAAGTGTTCTAGCCTGTGTGGACATGGTATTGCAAACAGTTATGAACATTTTCAACATTTCGTGTTGCATTATTCAAGTGTGTTAACTTCTGTGCAGCATACAATGCAGCCCAGACAGAATGAGTAAGTGGAGAAGGTACTTTGCTCTTCGTGCTATAAAGAGGCTGCGCTGATAAACAGACTCACATGAAACACATGACAGAAGTACCGAACTAAACAAATTCTAGTACCGAACAGGGTTTTTTTGTATCGGAAAAGTACAGAAGTTTCGGTATAGAGCAAAAGAGCAGAGATATACAGACCTTCACCAAGGGGCGTGGCTTTGGAGAAGAGGTGAGAGGTCAGGCCAAGGTCAAAGGCTGAGCCCTAGTTGCAGGGGCTCATGGGTAGAGTAGATATAGGCCCAAAGAGGAGGAGGATGGACAGGGCAAAATAAACTACAGAGGGGGACAGAGAGAAACAAAGAGAAGGAAAGAGTGAAAATACATATTTAGAAGTTTAAGAATGCAGTAAGATGATCGCTAAACAACACTTGAGTATGTAGAGCTGAACAAGTGCTGCTGAGAAAAACCCCCCGAATGTAACCATGTATAGATGCATCTGTTCATATGGCGAAACAGCCCAGTGGCTATCCCGCCAGACACAATACAATGGACACACCTATATTACACTAGCTTTATCAGTACAGTAGCTGTGGCTCAGCTGAGACTGCAGCTCTTTTCTGGGCCAGACGAAACACACCATTAGCAGAGAGACAAGAACACCAACTCCTAGGAACAATCTCTCCTCTCTTTCTTTAAAGCCCTCCAGTACTGTCCGTCCATCTCTCCCCCAGACTATTTCTCGCTCACACTCTCCCCCTCAGCCCTTTCGCACCTTTTTTCTCTATACCAATCTCTCCCCCTCTGTCAAAGTCCCCTCTTTCATCCCTCTCCCTCACGGTTTCTTTCAGTTCCAGCCTCTTCAGAGCACACAATAGAACGGACTAGATACCATACAGTATAATTGGAGCCAGACAATTAAAGGCTCAGGCAGACAGTAGTAATTACTTGCTTATCTGCTGATAAACCAGGAACCAGGGGTGCATGAGATGTTTTAAAAGGTTACTATAACAAGGTGCCACACACGAACAAGCATGGACACATACACCTGTCAAACCGGTTTGGCTAGGGAGGGGCATGGGGAGAGACCGAGGTGACACACACAGGACTCGCACAACTGCTTCTGAAAATCAACTCGTACTCTCTGATTGGCTCAAAGTCAAGTTCTCGGCCACTGACGAGCACTGCGATTCTACAAGTAGAAACGGCAGGGGTGTAATCATTATGCCGATTCTGTTGCAAAACATTTTACAACAAACAATTTATTCCAAACAGAAAACACAAACAAGAGTTTGTATTGGACGAATTCAGCTAGGTCCCTCCCTATTTTGTTCCATTTGCTTCTGTTTGGTTCTTAAACTGTTTCCCTAATGAATACACCACAGGTTTGTCGGTATCAGGTCGGTACAAAGCAGGGAAATGTTTTGTCCTTGCAAGAGAAGGTAATGGCCTCCTACTGTGATAAGTACCTATCGGCAGTCAGATTTCTTGGTGGGCCTGTTACCATTAGGCCTTTTACCATTAGGCAACAAACAAGGAGCTGCACTCACTTCTTGCAGTAGGTGTGTGTGTGAGAGAAAGAGCGAGAGGTGTTGACAAGGGGTAATAAGGTGAAAGGAGGAACAGAGGTGTATTGTGAAATGGGAAGGGGGGGGGGGGGGCTGACTCACAGTTTCACCTGTGGGGGACGAGTGTGAGAGAACGAGAAAGCAGAACAAGAGAGAGAGTGTGAGAGAACGTGTCAGAGACCAAGCTACAGCGAGGATAGAGATGGCCAGGATGGAATGACATCACTGAGTAGTACCTCTAGCTGCCTCGTCTGCTCCTGTATGTCTGGTGACTCACCACACACACGTCCCGTTTCATGTCTAGTGCAGGCCGATTCCCGCTCCCTTGTTGCTTTTTGCTCTGCTACTCCAGAAGAGCAGTGGATGTGGGTGTGAGAAAAAAGGAGGTAGGAAGGATGAGACACAGGAGCAGAAGAGGCAGCTAGAGATACAATTTCTATTGTTTAAAAAGGGAGAAATATTTCTCAAGAGGGTTGCTTTATTTAGGAATAGAGGGGATCAGGAATCAGATGAGTGTGAAGTAGTGATGAGGATGGATGACATTTTAACACACACACACACACACACACACACACACAGCCAAAGGCCACTGCCCACCTGCACAAACTCCTGTCTAGTAACACATGCCCTTATATGGGCAGACTCAGGACAGCAGCACAGAACTGTTATCTACCCTACAGGCAGGAGCGAAAGAGAGGGGAGGAGTAGGGAGAAGATAAGGAGTGTTGAATAAAAGAAAAGCGGAGCTTACATTCCTCAGACTGTGTCAAGTCAAATCGCTACAAAAGTCCCTAGTTGAGACACAACAAACCGTAGTAGAGAACTGTGGGTCCAGTATGGAGACAAACATCTCAAGGCAAGCCTCGGTCACAGTGACCCCATTCACAAAGCCAGCTAAAACCCAGTCTGCCATTCCACACATTCATTTAGTGAAACCCATCATTACCACAACTCCAAACACATTTTTGTTATCATTTACAAATAAGGAATCTGCGTGTGATTGAGCAAGTTTTTTTGGTCATTGGTGTGTGGGTCTGCGTGTAAACCACAGAGAGTGGGGAATTCGCAGCTGTTAGTTTGGGAGGCCACTGGAACAATGAGAAGTTTGTGTGAGTGAGCACAAGCGTGAAGGCATTGGAGTGCGGTTGAGACTGTGTGTTTAAGGGGGGCTGAAATTACTGATTTTGCTTCAGCGTCAATCATCCATCATGTTTCACACCTTTTAGTTCTCATTAAATGCTTTCAATATTTGTATATGAATTTCTACAATTTATGGTTGGTTTGAAGTTGTCATTGACATTTTGTGCTATTGAAATTTGTCAATATTGTCCCTTGTAGAGATGCCAGATTTAGATATAGCTACATAAACTTGGTGTTGAAGAAGATTGGGAGCGTGAAGAAACGCACCCAGTAAGCTACGAGCTGAGAGGGGAGCTGCGCAGCACAGTGGAGAAAGTTTGCGTGTCACTTTCGCAAGTCAGAGGTCAGTGATGAAAAACTACAGGGGTAGGCTACGTAAAGTAATAGTTCGGGAAGGAGCTCAAGATGAAATTGGACTGCAGCACACGGTGGAACAGTCTGGCAGATAGTGTGTAGCACAATGCTGTTTGCAATGGTATGGTAGGAGAACCCATCAATCGCAGCCATTTCTGCTAGAATTTCATCCAGTGCTTGTGTCGGCTTGAGGTAAGACTATCGTTCCAGGAGGTTTGCTGCTAAAGCCCCCCCCCCCCCCCCACTTGCTGAAGCCCCTTCTCTGCATTTGCCTCGCAAGTGTTGGGGGTGTAGGCTTGCCTGTTCGATCAATCTACTTGTTGAACCCCCTGTAGGCTACATTTTATTCTGCCCTTGCAGATTTTGCATTCTGCCTCTGTGGCATTACAATAAAAGCCTACCCTACCGGTTGCTCAAACATTGGAGCCAATTTTGTTACTGTATGCCTACTAACTGCATTTCAAGGTCGCGTGTACAGTTTCAGCATAAGCAATAGGATAGGCTATTACAGACACACTGAGCGTTGATGATTGATCATAGAGAAGGCCATGAGAAGACAGATTTAGACATTGCATATAACAGTTCCATTTCCCATCCTGCTGTTCATAGTAATACATGTATTACAATATACTGGTTTCTCTGTTATTTATCACGGGAAACGTGGAGTGAGTTTAGGCGAGAAATCACAGTACATTTCGGCAACCCGGTTCACGCTATTAAACCCTAGTGTGTTGGGCATTACAATCGGATCGCGTGCAGCTTCCCTCCAAATTGATGATTGAGTGGGTGCTGCCAGCTGTGGGCAGGATTGAAATAAACCCAAACTCAAGGAAAACTGTTACGTACCCTTCATTTCAGTGACATACCTTTTTACCCCTAATAATCTCCCAAATCTCTGTTTTGGACGAGACCGACTATGACCAAAATGATCCTATTTACACTTTGTAGTCGTTTCAACCAGATATATATATTTTTTTAAAATCAGTCGCTTTAAGCAGATTCCTAGTTGACCTATTGCTGCATCTCACCCTTTTCAAGTAAGTAGTAAGATATTTTATCCTTGAAGCCTATCGGAAGTCAGCTGTGAGTATCGTTGAACAATGCAAACATTGCTGCCTCCCTCCCCCCACCCTTCCTTTCACAGGCCCTTCCTAAGAAACAGGATGTTATGGATTCTCCTTTGGGGATGAGTGAAGACACGACTACACCACCACACTATGGTAAACCACTAGAAACCATTTCCTCTACAGCAGTGGTCTTTACTGAAGATAAGCAGCAGGGTGTGCACAAGCCCTTTGTTCCACACCCGATTCAGCGCTTCAAGCTCAGTTCTCTTAGTTCATGGACCTTGGTTGGACTATGGGGTACAGCAACAGTTCAAAGTTGCCACTAATCTCGCTGCCACTTCCTGCGGTCACTGTTCTTCCGCTTCCATCTATGACTGAGGCTTCTACCTTCACCCCTAACCTCCCTCCCACTCTTGTGTTGAGGAAGTAAACTAATCAATAAAACCTGTAAGAGGAAGAAGAAGCGGATGCTACCGCAACAACCAACCATTACTTAAACCGCGCTGTGACGTCAATTTCTCCAGGTCACCACGTCAGCAGATAAAAGCAGAGTGCCTTAGGGTCAATGATACAGAATACATGAGCACTCATACATGCACGCATGACTGATGCAGCACTGACACACCACGAGTCATATCGTCCTGTCTGATTCTGCAGCAGTCAGTTTGACTCACCCTAGCCTGGAGATATCTGAATACAGCGTCGCTTTCATGCATTATAGTGCTGAGCGATGGGGTTTTAAACAACTAATTGACCGACGTCTGTTTAATTATTTGAATCCATTTTGTTCATGTTTTTTCTGTGAGCTCAATGCACGGTTTCTGTAGAGATAAATCAGATCAAGCCTGAAATGTGAGATGTATTAAGAAGAGGACCGAGCATGACCCCATTCTCATCAACGGAGCTGTAGTGGAGCAGATTGAGAGCTTCAAGTTCCTTGGTGTCCACATCACCAACAAACTAACATGGTCCAAGCACTCCAAGACAGTCGTGAAGAGGGCACGACAAAACCCATTCCCCCTAAGGAGACTGAAAAGATTTGGCATGGGTCCTCAGATCCTCAAAAAGGTTATATATTTGCACCATCGAGAGCATCCTGACTGGTTGAATCACAGCCTGGTATGGCAACTGCTGGGCCTCCGACCGCAAGGCACTACAGAGGGTAGTGGGTACGGCTTCCTGCCATCCAGGACCTCTATACCAGGCGATGTCAGAGGAAGGCCCTAAAAATTCCACATTGTTTAGTGCAGAAAACGTGGTAATTAACTACAATGACCATAATCCATTGCGTGCCTGCCTACTTGTCCTATCTGTGTTGAGCACGGAGCTATAATAATAGGTGTGTAATAGAGACGAGAGAACGTGCGATCGAGAGGGCTAGAAAGCAGTTGCTTCGCGAGGTATCTCTACCTGAAAAAAACATGGCCTACATTGCCTTCAGAAAGTACTCATACCCTTTGACTTATTCCACATTTTTTTGTGTTACAGCCCGAATTCAAAATTGATTAAGTAAAAAATTTTCCCCCTCACCCATCGACACACAATACCCAATAATGACAAAGTGTAAACATGTTTAGACATTTTCGCAAATTTATCGAAATACAGAAATCTCATTTACATAAGTATTCACACCCGAGTCAATACTTTGTAGAAGCACCTTTGGCAGTGATTACAGCTGTGAGTCTTTCTGGGTAAGTCTAAGATTTCCACAACTGGATTGTGCAACATTTGCCCATTATTCTTTTTCAAAATTCTTCAAGCACTGTCAAATTTGTTTTTGATCATTGCTAGACAACCATTTTCAGGTCTTTCCATAGATTTTCAAGTAGATTAAAGTCAAAACTAACTTGGCCACTCAGGAACATTCACTGTCTTGGTAAGCAACTACAGTGTAGATTTGGCCTTGTGTTTTAGGTTATTGTCCTACTGAAAGGTGAATACATCTCCCAGTGTATGGTGGAAAGCAGACAACCAGGTTTTCCTCTAGGGTTTTGCCTGGGCTTAGCTCCATTCCGTTTCTTTTTTTATCCTAAAGAATTCCTAAGTCTTTAACGATTACAAGCATACCCGTAACTTCATGCAGCCACCACTACAGTGCATTCGGAAAGTATTCAGACACCTTCCCTTTTCCCAAATGTTGTTACATTACAGCCTTATTCTCAAATGAATTAAAACATTTCTCAATCTACACACAATACCCCATATTGAGAAAGCAAAAACAGGGCTAGAAATTTTTGCAGATGTATTACAAATAAAAACAGAAATACTTAAGTATTCATACCCTTTGCTAAGAGACTCGAAATTGAGCTAAGGTGCATCCTGTTTCCATTGATCATCCTGGAGATGTTTCTACAAATTGGAGTCCACCTGTGGTAAATTAAATTGATTGGACATTACTTGGAAAGACACACACCTGTCTATTTAAGGTCCCACAAAACCAAGCCATGAGGTCGAAGGAATTGTCCGTAAAGCTCCGAGACAGGATTGTGTCGAGGTACAGATCTGGGGAAGGGTACCAAAACATTTCTGCAGCATTGAAGGTCCCCAAGAACACAGTGGCCTCCGTCATTCTTCAATGGAAGAAGTTTGGAACTACAAAAACTCCTCCTAGCGCTGGCCGCCCGGCCAAACTGAGCAATTGGGGAGAGGGGTCTTGGTCAGGGATGTGACAAAGAACCTGATGGTCACTCTGACAGAGCTCCTCTGTGGAGATGGGAGAACCTTCCAGAAGGACAACCATCACTGCAAGCACTCCACCAATCAGGTCTTTATGATAGAGTGGCCAGACGGAAGCCACTCCTCAGTAAAAGGCACATGACAGCCCGCTTGGAGTTTGCCAAAAGGCACCTAAAGGACTCTCAGACCATGAGAAACAAGATTCTCTGGTCTGATGAAACCAAGATTGAACTCTTTGGCCTGAATGCCAAGCGTCACGCCTGGAGGAATACTGGCACCATCCCGATGATGAAGCATGGTGGTGGCAGCATCATGCTGTGGGGATGTTTTCCAGGGACTGGGAGACTAGTCAGGATCGAGAGAAAGAGATCCTTGATGAAAACCTGCTCCAGAGCACTCAGGAACTCAGACTGGGGTGAAGGTTAATCTTCCAACAGGACAACGACCCTCAGCACACAGCCAAGACAATGCAGGAGTTGCTTCGGGACAAGTCCCTGAATGTCCTTGACTGGCCCAGCCAGAGCCCGAACTTGAACCCGATTGAACATCTCTGGAGAGACCTGAAAATAGCTGTGTAGCAACGCTCCCCATCCAACCGGACAGCTTGAGAGGATCTGCAGAGTAGGGGATTAACTCCACAAATACAGGTGTGCCAAGCTTGTAGCATCATACCCAA